CGTTTAGAAACTGAACTATTGCTTAATACTTAAATTTTCATAAAATACTAGGTTACCTTACGATAGTAAATTATTATTTTTTTAAATCCAAGTGATAGACAAGTGGGCGTCCATTAATTACTTTTGATGTGTTTAGGGTGGGAGTGGTCGAGCCGAATCTCACCCAATCTCACGTGGGTAATCGCCTCACGTAATTTATTACGTGAGGTGTTTTTAGGGTGGGAGGGGTCGAGCCGAATCTCACCCAATCTCACGTGGGTAATCGCCTCGCGTAATTTATTACGTGAGGTGATTAGGGTTGGAGGGGTCGAGCCGAATCTCACCCAATCTCACGTGGGTAATCGCCTCACGTAATTAATTACGTGAGGTGTTTCAGGTGGGAGGTGGTCGAGCCGAATCTCACCCAATCTCACGTGGGTAATCACCTCACGTAATTAATAAATGAGGTGTTTAAGGGTGGGAGGGGGTCGAGCCGAATCTCACCCAATCTCACGTGGGTAATCGCCTTACGTAATTAATTACGTGAGGTGTTTAGGGTGGGAGGGGGGCGAGCCGAATCTCACCCAATCTCACGTGGGTAATCGCCTCACGTAATTAATTACGTGAGGTGTTTAGGGTGGGAGGGGGTCAAGACGAATCTCACCCAATTTCACGAGGGTAATCGCCTCACGTAATTAATGGACGGCCCCTAAATAGGAGACTTATTTTTGAGAGATTGGTAAAGTTATGCCGCGCTTAGAGTGAGATATCCAAAGGGAAGTGAAGACATGATATCAAGGTTGCGAATAGTGTCTCTTTTTGTTGAGTATGTGTATCACAACTAAAACGGTAACTATCCCATTGAAAATCACATTATTTTCTTTTAAATAAATGATATATAGAACCAATAAAGAAACAGCGGCGATCGATCTCACGACCGTTAGCGTTACCGTTACAGCCTATTAGAGTTCACTGCTGAACATAGGCCTCCCCATAGATTGCCTCATAGGCCATGTTTGCCATAGGTGCCACGCGTGACGATCGCAGTTTTTTAATTTTAATTGTTAATAGGAAGACGCTGCTGCCCACCTCCTGATTTGTTTTCCTCTGTCGCTTCTTACGACATCCATAGGATGATATAGGGTAGTGGATATTCTTACACCGACACTACAGATGATGTCGCGACCACGGTATTGTTGACAAATAGTCTATTAATTGTGAAATAATGGTTTAAATCTTTTATTATTCATTGGGTTGAGCACCATTTATTCATGGATGTTATATGTACACAAATATTTCGAAGACATGTGAAGATTGACAACACGCATTGGGGTAGCGTGGCGGCCATTTCGTTGCCCTAAAACTCTCTCAGAAATTAAAGGAGCCATGTGCCCAGCAGTGGGGCGAATATAGGTTGTAACTTTATATGTACACATTTATAATATCCAATAAATTTTTATCGATTAGAAAGTTTTAAGTGTTAGATAGATAGGTACGCGAATAATTTTTGAGATTAAAAAGACTATGCCGCTCTTCAGTCTCGGGATATAATGGCATCACAAGAAGTCTAGAAATATTTCTTACAAATTATTTTTCCATTTTAGTTATTTGTAATGATTCCAATTTACTTGATAAATATCAACGTTTACATACGGCGTCGTTGTCTGAACGAAAAGCATACGTATCACAAATGATAATGTATTTGGCTTTAACAGGCTATTAGTTGCAATATTATAATCCCTTTTCGTTTATAACAAAATTATTTGAGATTATATTCTTATAGATAAGTGATATAATAAAGTAATAAAATGTATCATACGACTGGACCTTTTAGTTATAAAAGGGCTCTAAAGTAAAATATCACCATACTGCTCTAACGCATGTTGGTAGATTTCATATGGTGTAGAAATAGTACAAAGAAGGTTATTAAACACGTGGTAAATGATTTAACCGATAATACCGTTATAAATAAAGTTTAAATTAAATTCAAGAAATATAAATTAAATACAAAAAAAATATATATTTATAATGGACAATCTTTTTCATGAAGTTTAAACTAGTTAAAGTGAAATATTTGACGTTAAAATTAGGAAAGTTCCACACTAACCGCGGCACAACTAACGCATTAAAATTAAAAAGATATCTCAACAAAATGTTTCGCTAGTCAGGTGTGAGCTTACAGCTGCAGCGCATGTGCGGACACTAGAATAGTGTTTAGTTATATAATATGTAATTCGCTTAACATTTAATAGGCGGAACTCTCGACATTTGTCCCAGATGTACCGTTGCATATCTTGGCTATTCAAGCCGTCATGCGGAGGCAAGACTTTTAACGCTGTTGACGATTTGGACAAATACATTTAATATTTCGGATTAAATAAAAAGTAAACACGAACAAGAAGTTGATAATAATCGCAAATATAATTAGTTATATTGTGAAAATAAATGAATCTTAATATTTATTAAAATATTAAGCTATTAAACCAATATAACCTGTATGGGTTTGATATTATTTATCACTAAAAATTATAAAGTTGTGTGTGTCCCAACCGTCAACTGCGATTCAGTGATACCATTGTTTTACTCACTAACTTATAACCCATGCAAGCGTGCATACTTGTCTAGTATGCACTGAAACATATTAAGCCTAAAACTAAATACAACCAAATGAAAAATAACGACACTAATAGCTATTCGCATTTCCAATTACAAAAAGCTATTTTAAATTACAGGCAAGGTAGAAATGTTGGAATCGATTGCTTATAAAATGAAATAATTCCGTGGCAGCAGCAAAATAATCACGCTTCAGCAAAATAACCATACTTCAGAAATACGAATAGCCGGGATAAAGCACTTCGTTAACACCTCATAATTATACAAACCCCGCAGCACGAACAAAATATCAATTACCCATGCTTTCGACATATTTATATTATGTGTAACTTAAATTCGAGAAGCTTAACTTTACATGAATTGTAACATTATGAGAGTGTAATATGTACTCGAACGGTAATGTTAATTCGAAAACGTAGGAAACTATTCTACTTGTGAAACAGTGACAGGAGGATAAACGTTGACGACGCTACGTAGAGAGGCCTACGTAGGGGACGAAGAAATATGGACGATTATTATATACCATAGTCTTACAATAAGAAGGTAAGAAGACGCGTGAAACAAACTAAACATTTTTGGTACGTATTTGACATGGACTAACCTATATATTACTTAATATTAAAAACACAAGATGTTACACTATCAAACGCTCCTTCATCTTATACGTGCATCACACACATTTTGATAGTAAATAGATCTGAAGAAAATAAAATAATGCACGAATAAAAATCTACTTACTCATGTTTCTGAGTGTAGTATACAATTTACTGAAATATCGCTACCAATAAATAGTTTTACGATGTAAAGTTATCAAATGTAATGCGCCTAACTCGCAAATTCATCCTACATAACAATAACCGTTTAATAATGAACAAAATCGTTATAAAGTAAACGGCTGTTGTTTAGTAAATATACGTAACTGTAAAACAAGGTATAAAATATGTATTAATATTAAAAATAACTATAGACAAATTATTGTATTTGAACACTGAATTTTAGTCACAGTCCATGGCTTGTGACTTGAAAACCCAATCTGAAACAAAATGAAAATAATTTTAAGAAGTATCTCTATTTTAAAAAAATGGGGATTTCACTGACGCTTTATATAAATTATATAAGTTACTGTATTCTAATTATATAATTACACATTGTCTTAATAACTACTTAAACACTAAGTTAAAAGCAAACAGAAAGCATAAAAGCAGAAATGTAACCGTTATAGAAGTTCCTTTGACTAACAATAAAACTGCTAATGCACAATGTGAATTTAGATCAGTTATTCAATCATATAAATAAAAATTTAAATATTTATCTTAAAATCTGTCATCGTTTGATATTTATCTTAAAATCAATCATCGGATGAGACTTTTGACGAAAAAAGAACTTAAGCCTTGGATATACTTGGGGACAAAAGGAGCGGCATGTTGCGCAACATATCGCTCAACAACTACGTGGAATGTGCCGAGACATATGTCGCGGAAAATTTTGCAGGCCACACTAGTCAGTGCTTATAGAAATGTCGTCCGAGGAGGTTGAGCTGATTCACTGATGCGTATACATTACTTATTTCGAGAGTGAAACGCAAGCGAAAGAGAAAGTGATGGATGCGGAAATTCTTACTACAACGAAAAGAAAGAAGAATTAATATTTTAAGTGATCTCCGAATGCCTGACGGATCTTTTGTGAATTTTACTCGCATGTCAACATCTGATTTTGAAACTTTATTACAAATGATCGGACCTTCCGTAGCCAAACAGGATAGAATACTACGGAACGCTGTTGACCCTCGTATCAGACTTGCCATTGCATTAAGATACTCGTCGACTGGAGATTCTTGTGCTTCCTTGTCGTACACTTTTTGAGTGTCGAAACAGAATCGGCAGAATAGTACCAGAGGTTTATGGTTTGAAGTATTCCATAACAAAACATGATCAGAGTCATGTTTTGTTATGGAAGGTCAAGAAGTAAAAGCACGGTTTCGTTGCAAGGCACGTTGAGTACACGGCTACACCCGGTAACAAACTGGCGCAACACTGACGCGGGACACGTGCGTTCGCTCTCGGAGTGGGAGCAAACAACATGTTCCACGTCACGTAAAATGTTAAGGGTCATGCATGTTGCGGTACACTGTGAAATGTTGCATCGTCACGTAGATTGAGTCTTCGCGTCCTGTTGCGGGACAAAATGTCCCTAGTGTATCCGGGGCTTTAGCCTTAACAATTATCCGTCAAAAACGGTTTGTTAATTGATAATAAGTTCTTTCGAATTCAATCTTAAAATGAAGGTAACAAAACTGTTGGTGTTTGTATGACGATTGGTATTGTCAGGCGAGAAAAAGAAAGTAATAACGCGTGCCTGCATGCACGCCTTTGTGTGTATGTTTGCGTGCGTGCGTGTGTATACGTACCTCAGTCGTGATCGTTATTGGGTTGGTCGCTGTCGGGACGCAGCGAATCTATGCAGGCGACGATCTTAAGCGCCGGTCCGAGTTTCATGGAGAGCGCCATAACTAGATGCTCAGGCCTGATGAGGAGCAGCGCTTCTCCGTCCACCTCCTGCATGAGGAACTCATCCGCGTATCCAGCGCAACCGGGAATATTGCGGATGAAATCGCATACTTCCGCCACCTGTAGGTTTATAAATTCAACGTGAGGAATTTTTTTCTTTATTACCCCTGATACTAAATGATGATAAAAATTGAAAAATATCAAGCAGGATCCTAGGCTGAATAGTAGCCGTACCATTAATATTATCTACCTATGAAACTGCCGTTTTGTAGGAGAAAATTGAAATATTTTTTTTAACAAAAAATAGTTGAATAAATGAAAATATTTTCTTAAACTATTTAAAATATTCTATGCCATTTTATGGACAGTTTGTTGATATAACTGCTTTATATAACCGCTGCACAAGAATAGATGAAATATTTGAGGAGTTTTTTTGCCACTCAGAAAGTTATTTAAACTTGAGGATAAATGTAAGTCTTATACGGCAAGGTCTAGAGCATATAGCGGATGAGCAAGTCTCTAATTCTAGCTCTGCTAATTTTGGCAAGATTCGTTGTGCATGTGGCCGGGCGTTGTCATGAGGAACCAATGGCAAGGAACAGTTCATCAATCTTAGCTGTTTGTGTGGCAGCTTCTCCACCATCATTTGCACTTCTTGGTAAAACTAACTCGGTAACTAAGTAACAGTAACGCCAGATGATATAAAGTTATAGTGAATAACATAAAAAATAGACGAATAAACTGTTACCGTAAGCTAATCTTTCGTTTTGGGCACTGTTTGGCTTGACCACTTGATTCTAACCTAGACGATCTATTCTAAAGCCGACGCTAGCTTAGCCGTAGTTTGGAACCCATCTGCTTTCGATTTAGAATTCTAAGTCAAACCATAGCTATTACCGTTCACAGTAGTTAGTTCAACAAAACGACAATTTCCAAGGTAAAGACGCATTAGATTACTTTTTCTAAACCAGTCCATATACAGTTCACTACAATACATATATTTCTTTATAATAATATTATTTGCTGTTGTTTTTCTTCACAGATGGCCAATTCATTTTTAGAAATGGTGATAGTGATATTAAACAACATAGTAAACAAGATGTATCAACACTCACACTCCATTTATTAGCGTTGGGTATCTTAGGCTGGACCGTATCGTCTGGGGTGCAGTCTGAAATGGACTCCTGCTTCGTTCCATTTTGTGTAGCCGCTGCCTCGCCAGTCTCCATACTTGAGCTGATTCTAGCTAGACTGCTGCCGTTTTCCAACATCTGTTTTTTTCCTGTAAACAAAAAGTAATGGGGTTGTTATAAACTAATTTGCTTAATTCCCTTTGCTTAATTTATAACAACCCTATTATAATGGATTTCCTCAAAGTGACGCCTGATTCTATCAATTATAACAAAAAGTAACTTCAAAGTCAAAGTCACTTTAATAATTAGCAAGTCAGACATCTGCCGGAGCGTATGACAAAAATGTGCTTAGGCAATTTTCCTGTAGTTTGCACGTAAAAATAAAACAACTGATCCTAATTTTTACTCTCTCGTTACTTAATTATTCCACTCTGAAGGAATGGTGAGTTAACATTACTCCGAGGTCCAGCTGTAGCCTTTCAAAAGCAGGGTTTCTCGATCTTTTTTTAACCAGGGACCACAAGGTTAAAGAAGAAAAAATATATTGGTAAATCCAATAGGGCATGCCACTTGGAAACTTGATTATACGGAATTTTTAAAAGTAGTTTAAATACATTTCGACAGCACTATCGGCTTCAACACCCTCGAAAATCATGAAAATGACACTCATGATGAAAAAATTGATACCTATTGCAGCCGCCACCTTGGATTTACATTTCGACAGCACTATCGGCTTCAACACCCCCGAAAACCATGAGAATGACCCATGATAAAAAAATTGATACCTATTGCAGCCGCCGTCTTGGATTTACATTTCGACAACCCTATCGGCTTCAGCACCCTCGAAAATATGAAAATGACACCCATGATGAAAAAATTGATACCTATTGCAGCCGCCATCTTGTATTTACATTTCGACAACCCTATCGGCTTCAACTCTCTCGAAAACCAAGAAAATGACACCCATGATGAAAAAATTGATACCTATTGCAGCCGCCACCTTGGATTTACATTTCGACAACCCTATCGGCTTCAACACCCTCGAAAACCATGAAAATGACACCCATGACGAAAAAATTGATACTACTTACTTTTAGTACGTACTACTATTATTTCTCCTGAACTTTTAAAATATTGTAATAAAAAAATCTCTCATTATTATTATAATCAAGTATTTAAGAAATTTGGTTATTCGAATATTGTGTATTTGTACAGCGATCTTTTTGAGCCGCTGCAAACAACCGTAACACTGTCCACTCACGACGGCGACTGACGCCGAACAAACTGAGTGATGCAGTCTCTATTTAGTAATAATTTATTCATACAAGGCTGCCGAATACACCGAAAATTTCGGCATTTCGCAGCCGAAAAAAAATTATTATAACTAAACTAAACTAAACAAAATTAAACTGCCATTTATATTCAATGGCTTCCCACATGATAGATGAAGAGTTTTAAAAATATATTGAGTTGAACAATTGATATTTTCAAAAGTTATCGTGTTTACAAGCCTTGCGTACTTAAAAATCCACACCATACGCCACTAAAACTTCTTTTTTATTTAAAAATAGCAATTAATCGATTTAAAAAAATATTAATAAGTTCAACAATCACTTATCTTTCTGACAATATGCTTTTTATATCAGTTAAACCGATATTATACGGATCAACCAAATTGAAACAATTTTATTGAAAAGCATTGAACATTGCTCATTGAACGTCTTTACCAATATACACGTGAACCATTAAAATGACATTCAATGTTCAAAGCGCAATGAGATGTCGCACCAACTCGTACGTCCGGGTATTTCGTTAATCTGCAACTATATATATTTTTAACTTTATGTCCTCTTCAGTGATATCATCAATATTTAAATCTTCCTTCAGTGATCTTATAGCATTATCACGTCGATTTCTATCTTTTTAAGACTGATTTTGTATTCCACAAATACTCAATACAATTGGAAACGTTCCAAAAATAGCGAAACATGACTGTCACGCCACTTGAAAATCATTTTCGCATAGGTTACTGTATAATATATACTAGAGACTTGTAATAAGTGCTCGTGCGTACGCTTCGCTGTCGTGCGGTGCGCGGAATGAGTCACCGTTCAATCTTCATGTATACACGTTTCAACCGCATTGAACAGTGACCAATATTGCTACCATTGCATTAAAAGCGTTCGGTGAATTGAAGTTTTCAATGAGATTGCGCAATCGCATTGAAATGTATTTAGATGTCTCATTGCCATTGAAGCAATGAAATTGAAAACAGTATTGAACCGAAATTGATCCCTGTAATATGGTCTTTATATGTACAATATGATTGCTAGATACGATTACATGCGGCAAAACGTTGGAATCTTAATTTTTAGGCCCCAGTAGAACATACCGACGCGCTTAGGCGCTTACGGCAGGCAACATGTTAATCTTTATATATACAAATTACGTGTCACGTTGTTTGTCCGCAATAGACTCCTAAACTATTGAACTGATTCCAATGAAATTTTGCACATTGTATGCATTTTGGTCCAACTTGAGAGATAGGATAGTTTTAATCTCGATAAATAACCCTCAAAATTTTTTATTGCGAATTTAATGATTTTTATAGGAAGGGTCGTTGGAAAGGGCAGAACAACGTCTGCCTGGCGAGCTAGTCTAACAATAAAATTTAATCACAGCTTTTAACATAATTATACAATAAAATGAAAAGAATTCACTCACAATATTATTTGTGTATTTATTGTAAAAGAAACCTTACATGTTTGGTAAAAAATTGCGATTTTGATAGCGGACGCGACGCGTAGTGTTGCACTAGCCGCGTGACGAGAAGTTATTTAAAACGATTAGATAGGTAAAATTTTTAAATCTTTCACGGACTATATTTAAGCTCTTGCGGACTCACTAGTTATGAATCATAGCTCTAAAGGAACCACATGAGAGTGCTTCTTCAGTAGGGATGCTTAGGAGTCTGTCTAGTGGTCAATTGGTCACCCTCTTACCCATTTCTGCCCCTGGGTAGCCCTGCATCCACGGCTCTGCTCTGAAGGGCATTTCCTCACAGGGAAATGTATGCCATGAGCTTTAATTGAATAGAACATTTTAACTTTGACATTATCATATTTACCCTTGTCCATGGGATGCAGTAGCTACTTATCATTAGGTGATTTATTAGCTCAATTATTGTCATCGTAAAATCCGCGCGTTCTATCTTGGCCGAGCTGGAGTTGGCTTTCGGAGACATTCGCGCATCTACAGACTCTAGTCGATAGAGATGTGTCACTTTATAATCGCACCTAAAATTTCCTAGAGACAGTTTGTTTTGTCTATATGGATTATAGAATAAATTGAAATTATATTTATTATGAAAATATATTTATAATTTCAATAAAACTATGTAATAAAGAAACAAGAAACAGTTTGAAGTCACACGATATTAGCGGGGATAACAAATTCTTTCTTTTTAAATTTTGCCATAAAATATATAATGCACATCACCATAATACTGTATTAAAAATACATGTTGCATTTACACACCAATGAACCATAAAAATATAAAATAAAATCGAATCATAATTGATACTAACGATATTAAAGTAATTATAACCGCGTAATATGTGTATTCGCATCTCTAGTCTTAGGTACCGCCCACACTCCCCGTCCCCGCTTCTTGTCACCATTTTGTTCCAAAAAAAAACTATATCTGCGCAGCCACTCGCGACTAACTTCAGCCCAGGAAAGATAGAGCGCGCGGTCTTTAATATCTAAAGATTAGCAAACCGACTGCCCTGGACTTTAAGATCAGTTGGGATATCATTGTGTACTTACGAGGCGGCTCCTCAGGCGACGGTAGTTTGTTTTCTTTATCCTGTTCTTTGTCAGCGGCGACCCATTCACGAAGAGGTCTGTTTACCTAGAAATAAAAATAAATCCCACAATAGCATAAAAAGGGCGTAAAGTAAATATGGGAATTACGATTATACAGGACGAAATTGAACTCATTAATCTATTTATGCTGAGAAATATTTTAAAGTAAATTAAATTAGTAACGATGCATAAAATAGTATTTTTAGCTGTTGAGAGAAAAATAGTCTACTTATGAATTTGTTGCCGCTTCTTCTTACAGGGTCTCCGCGCAGTGGGCACTTGTTGAAGCGATGGCGTAGCACTTCACTTTCAAAAAGTGCTTTCTTAAAATCAAATTTATAAATAAAAATAACTTTGAGTAAAAAAATTAAATAAGGCACCTACATCTTTGTACAGCTTGTCCATGTCCTTGGTCTATAAACTATGTTTTCAACATTTGGAGAGTTCACGATTTACTGGTGTTTCTAATGTTATAATTATTTTATCGTGTTTATTTGTAATAATGGTGAAGGGTTGAATGGTGAAGAAAACATGGCACGCAAACCTGCACGTCTGAATAAAAAATAATTATTTGTGTGATGCGTATCCAACACAACGTATTGGACAACTTTATCTAGGTTCATGAATATAATGTGTAATGTAGGCAGTTACTATTTTATTTTGAATCATTGAACATTTGATTACACACTTTAAAACTGTAAAAAAATAAGTATAAATAATATAAATAAACAAAAATATCGATGAGGGTAATTAGATTCCGACAGCATCAGACATCTGTAAATAAATTAGGAAACAGATGTTTGAACTCACTGCGAAGGGTTCCCCGGCTTCCTGGATCACGTAACCTTCGATAACGTGTGTCAGGATGTTGGGTTTCACCATCGCCTTCGGCAGCCCTTTGTCTAAAAATGTTTAAAAAATTAAAACAATCATTGTAACATACTAAACAAACTTACTTGTTTAGTATAATAGCAGTGCTATTTAAATAGTTATAATTTATTCGCCGAAACATGGCACATTCTATAGATATAATGTACATGTTTACACTAGCATGCCATACTTTATAGTTTGACAATTATTTGTTTATAAAATATATTTACTTTTAATTAATCTCCTTTAGAACACAATATTAAAAATATAAAATATTTTATACGCAAGGTGAATATTTGCAAGATTTTTATCATAAAATTTAAAAAATATATACATACACATATATACACATCTCATTTATATTATAAAGTTTTAGTTTGTTTGATAAATGTCTGTCGGTCACAAGAGCTGTATGAATTTAAGTCGGGGCGAAAGTTAGTACATAAATAAGGGTTGGGCCATTTAAAAATGGAAATGAACTGGTTTTTCCACGATGACTTGTGGATTGTCTGAGCCTGATACGACAATTTTGTTTATTGACGTATCCTCCGAGGTGGAAAGAGTTTCATCTGAAAAGATGATTTTTCAGTAAAAATGCTCAACTTCGATCAAGCGGTCTTCGACAAGAAAACGCATCGGACGGTCATGCGGCTTCAGCTCTTGCACTAACTGAACTTGTATGCATTCATACCGAGATCTTTATGCAAAATTCTTGTCAAAGAAGTGAATAATATAGAAGTGAATAAAACTAACTTTCTGTCACATCGGAAATGTCATCAAACCTTCCAACCTCAAAGTAACCTATAGTTATAATTCCAAACGTTAGATGTTCTAACCTGAATAAAAATAAAAATGCTGTTATCAATGGTGACTTACCGTGTGCGGCTTGTTGGTTGATATGGCGCGGCGCACACTGAGAGCTCTTGAACAAAGGGGCGGGACCAGCTGAAACAGGCGCTGCCACAGCCGTGGTTGCCACCGCCACCGACGACGATGATGCCACAGTCGTTACCACCTGACCATAACAGATAATAAGTATTTATAATACGAACTGACCAAATGGATCAAAAATAAAAAATAAACTTATTTTTGGTTAATTAAAAACGTTACCATCACACTAGGATCCTCCTGTATCCTGGGGAAAGTTTACTTATACCAAAAGCGCAAAGACAAATATTTAAACAATTATTTGTAGGCCACACAAATACTTGTTCAGGATTCGAAGCCGCGGCCGTCAGCGCCGGAACTCAATGCTAAGCCACTGCGCCACGGAACGGCCAAACTTCAAACTTTCAAAGGACTTATTAAAAGCTAGTTGTACATTGCAATATCTGATAGAAAGCTCATTATCCATCATTGTAAATACCATTACCATAATATACATGGAAAAGCTTAAAATAAATGACGCTACCGTTTAATTTAATTCCATCAATCCTCGATCCATAATAAATAAATACATGCCTAACTGTCGGGAAACACTCGGTTGAAACAAAGTTCCTTTCGTAGTGTATTGGCCTCCTCTACACTACTCGCGAAGTAAGTTTGGCTAAGGGCTCGACGAAGTCGATCGCAGTCCGAAGAACGTGACTATATACTCGTGCTAGTACATAGCTGCATACATAAGAATATACAAAATGTTTGAACTTGCAAGCAACCATAATTTTCTCATAATTATTTTAAGCCTAGATAGTTAAATATAATAGAACCTATTTGTAACGTTTTCCTTTTAACTGGGTCAATTTTGGACAGTAAAACGTTTGTTCTATTCTTTTGTGGCGTTTGTGTTCTTTTTTTACATATATCTTTCGGTCTATAGAAAACACCGTTACAAAAAGCATAGAATACATAGCTAGTACATGTAGAAGGCTATGTACATATTTAATATTTAGATATATAAAAGAAATATTCATAACTGGCGTAAGCCGAGTAGTGTAGTGAGACGCTTCGTGTAACTTCAGGGTAGATATGAGCGCCGAAGGCCAATTCCACAGGAAGGGAGCTTCAAAAGAAGCGCTTTGTGCCAAACCCGATCGAAGGCCTTCGCAATATCCAAACTAACGGCCATTGCCTCTCCCTTGGACTCTACTACCTCCGTCCATCTATAAGTCAAGTAAACCACAAGATCACCAATTGATCGATCCCAACGAAAACCGTATTGGCGGTCATTAATCAGCTGGTGGTCCTCAAGGTACCGTATGAGCTGGCAGTTTATAATGGATTCCATTATTTTGGAGAACAAGGAGGTGTGGCGATAGGCTTGTACAGAGACAGGTCTGAGCGGTCGCCTTTTTTAGGGATCGGGTGGAGGAAAGCCGTCTTCCGTGAATTCGAGACTACGCCTAGGAAGTAGGAATACCGGAAAGGACACGTTAGAACCGGTGCCAACTCGGGATCACACGTCATCAGCTCAATTCGAGGGATTTTCAGGCCCACTCGACTTGTGAATGTACAGAGAGGAGTGCTTTTTGAACCGAGGGATGTGTGAACTGCACATCCAGTATGGAGCATTCACACCACGGGATGATCGGCGGTGTGCTCTCCCCGTCATCGTGAGTCGAGTTGGACGCAAAGAAAGAGCCTAGCAGATCAGCTTTCTCCTTTGCGGCATGGGCCAGTGAGTCGTCCTCCCTGTGCAGAGATGGAAGAGATGGCTGACAGTAGTTTCCTTGGACAGCCTTGGCGAGAGACCAGAATGCACGGGTTCTCGAAGGAAGGCGAACTAGTTTCTCGACAATTCTGTTGCGTGCTCTGACTTTGCCTTGGCAATGACTCTTTTGAAGGACACATCACACATGATTACATCCCGGGACGTTGAATCGTCAGCCCAGGCCCGGTAGCACTCCTGCTTATAGCTTGATCCTATTTTACATGAGCGACCAAATCATGGCTGAGATCTGCCTCCGATGGTCACCACAGAGGAAGGAATAAAAAGTTCCATAGCCTGAAGTACCACATCAGCGACAGAATTAGCAACAACGTTGGGATCGTGAGGCAAGAAGAAAACCCGCCCACAAGGGTAAGATGCAAAGAAGGACCGCATCCTATACCTATTGGCGACCTATAGTGCCAAACACGACGACAGCCTGCGGAATGCAGCCGCGATGTTAGTGTGAATGACACCACACTCCAGACTAGACAATGGTCCAAGGAGCCAAAAGGGGCGTTGACGGAGACCTGATATATATCCGGATGAGAGATCAGCAGAAGGTCCAACAGGGAAGGCGCATGATCATCCACATCTGGAATCCGCGTAAGCGAAGTAACCAGTTGTGTCAGACCATATGCCAAGGCAAAAACATGAACAGATCTTCCCGCATGATCGGTTAAACGTTAACCGAGCCATTTTGCGTGGTGGGTGTTACAATCACCGAGCATCACGATTTCTACGGATAGGATCAGCTGGAGAGGATGCCTGTGTTTCGGTCAGTAAGAGCAAGGCCGGCTTCGTCATCTCTAGATGGTAGTGGACAGCATTTAGGTTCGAGGGAAGTTGCCGATGTTGCAGAAATTCACGGATAGCTTGGCTGGGGTCGCCTTGGTCTCAGCTTGCCCCGAGCAGTTATGAAATGCAGAAGCAGAACTTCCACTTCACGCCGGTATTCTGTAAGGTCCATTGTTAACACCACACAACAATACACGTTCACCCGGTGAAATATTCGACTCGACTGAGTGAGCGACAAGCGTGGCGAGGCGACAAGGCAAACTAATGCGGCCGGTCCACGCGTGTGAGCGGGAAAGGAAGTTGCGACTCGTCGCGATGGCGCGCCGCGTTTTTCACGCGGCGGCGACGTGCCGACTTGACCTCACGGCGACGGCGGCGCGCCGGCGCGGCGCTCATATCTACTTCAGGGTACTTCGCAAAGGTTTTTTGCGCTAGAGTCAACTCTAGCGCAAAAAACCGACAGCGATTGGAAGTCGCCCAAGGCGAAGCAAGGTTGCACGAAGCGAATCGAAATAACTCTCTACACTATTCGCCTCATCCAACTTCGAACTACTTCGCGAGTAGTGTAGAGGAGGCATATTATTATTGATATACGCAAGATAAGAAAAAGTGCGAGGGAGCTGGATATTATTCCATCTTGTTTCCTTATAGCCCCCAAGGTCGAGACGGAAAACTTTATCACTTTTTTCGCCTAGCCCCCGTCCGCCAAGTCCGTACGGTGCGATAAGGAACTTCGTTTCAATAACAATTTTAAAGAGGCTAATAAATAATATAAAACTATGTCAGTGTAAAAAATTACATTTTGCTTAGAGACGTAGCTTAGAGTTTGAATGGTGCGGCAGAGGCGAAGGTTCCAACACCTAACGGAAATGGGGTGTGGGCTACAAATAATTGTTTTGGAGTTGAGATGGGATTGGTCTCTATATGTGCAATTTATGAATGTAAAACACTTTCAGCATATAGTACAAGTACTAAAAATGGGGTGATATTTAAATAAAAAAAAAACGAAAGCAAAAACAACTTACAGGTGAAGTTACTGTGTTTGCGACTTGTATTATAACATTTATAACCGCTCAATGAAAGTTCCATCGTTCAATAATCACCTGTGGGGCTACGGGCGTGGTTTGTTGAGCACTGCTAGGCACCGGAGTGGTCGAAGTTGACACCGAAGTGACGGAAGTGGCTGCGTTGGACTCATTGCTTGCTTGTAAATCTGACTTTGTGGGGCTTGATTTGGACTCCGTTGGTGTTACAGCGCCTAAGAATGAAATCGGTTCGTTGATTTCAGTCAAAAAATGATTACTAAAATTAATTTAATAATTTAATTACTTATGTTAAGCTGAAAATATCGAGGATTTTCACATGAAGAACAATCGTATTGAGTTTAGTACAAAGTTTCACTAAAGAATTCTCTGGGATGCGGTGCCACAATCTACGCGATATCTGACATCTGCCGTCGAATCCCATACTATACATTTTTATTCATAATATACTATCCGCGAGAGTTCTTTCGTTAAAAAGGCCATGTATTATTTTACGCACCAATTGTGGAAGTGCTGGTGGATATAGTGGAATCAATGGCAGCAGTCGAAGTTGTGGTGGTAACAGAAGAAGAAACGTTGGTAGCAGGAGCAGTGCTACCAGCAGTGAAGCCTGTTGCGGCAGAAACAGCCGCCTCAGAAGTAGCTTCAGTTTGGACGATCGGCTGGGGGGCTATTTGTTGTACCACTGGTGCCTGCGGACAAGTAACCGAAACAAATAAATAAAAAAATAATTCATATTATTGCAGTCACATTAAAATTGTCGCGAAAAGAATACATTCAACGTTAAATGTACTATGTATAATGGCTGTCTGTTCCTTTTTATTTTAGCGTATCGAATTGTCAAAAAAAAAATATGGAGACATTATAATATATACGATGCCATTTTTATAAGGGAAAGAATAATTTAAAAAAAAAACAGTAGTACAACTCGTTAGCTCTATCATAATGAGGCTTTTTAGGTACTATACAAAATTCTACGCCATGTTATACATGTTTTTTTTTAAAGATTTGGAAGAATCTAAGAATTACAATTTCTTGTTCTTAACAGACAATAAGCGAAGTAATAACAGATCTCACCTGAGCAGCCATTTGCTGACCCTTATCATCTTCACTCTTCACGTGAGCCACGAGGGTAGCTTGGGGCTGTAGAGGCAAAACGGAACCTTGAACGGGCGCCGCTATTAAGCCTACGGTACCCTGGGCCGCTTGAATAGTCAGCTGAGGCGAACTGAGACTATTCGCTGATACCTGTAGATGTATCAATTTCAAATATAGAAGGACGCGCATGTAAACAAAATTTATTCTTTGATCTCGTTATGTTTAATGAAAATTCTTAGGTGATCGATTTAGTTCCTTTTAAGCATTACCGTTCTTAATATTGAATAATAAGGGAAGTAAATTTTGCAAAAAAGGTACTTTTTTAAATAATAGTTACTTTACAATTGATGATGAATTTCAATGTTAAAATGTGTAATATGGAATGTTTTACGGTAGCAGCATTAGAGAATGCCATCACTTTATCTCTTTTGATTTAAGGAAAACACCGAGGAAGAAAACATTTGAGTTTAACCTCTCCATCTTTCTCTTTAAAGGAAAGACTGATTTTTCATTGAAGCATACATTGCTTCAATGAACATACTGAATTCATGCGGCAAATTATCAACATGAAAACAAACAAATCATGCTTATTATAACGCCTTATAGCTTACCTATTAAGATGTAAAGAAAGAATCAAGTTTAATCATGCTTATTTTGTATTAGTCAACATTTTAGTTATTAGTGAATTCGTTTTAATCATACTATATCCTAAAAGACTATAGAATTAAAACAATTAACACTTAACGGTACTGTTATGTACACAACTACTGTGTTTTTTAACACATAAGATAAAATGCATCAATGTCCGGAACCACAAATTAAAAAAAACGTTCTTCAAATAATTTTACAACTATTTTTGACACCTTACAAAGCATTCGTACAGATCCACAATTTCCCACTACAAGCAAGTAAACAGTTCATATTATACCATGCAAAAATAAAAATAAAAACATTTAAGTGAAATAATTATTATTAAAAAGATATTATATATTGGAACTACATGGAAAATTCATTTCCCGAGTATGTCTCGACATTTATATACATACGTAAATTTGCATGCTTTAATAATTTATATAATATGTAAAGTATTTTTTTAAATATAAATGTAGGATTGCTCGAACTAAATAGTTTAGTTATAAATACATACAGGGAAATTGAAGTCCAAAAATAGAACAACCATATAATTAAAATTATTTAACAAAAAATCTATATTAATTATTGTTCTAAGGAGTTATAATTTATTTTAATAATTTTGGTCTACAATTGGCATTTTAAAATCCTCTATTAATTGATACGAGTGATATTAGGTAGGGTAATGTTATATTACAAATTATAAATAACAATAATAAAAATAATATAGTATTTATTTTTACAAATCACTCGTATAAAAACTAGAGGGTAAAGCCAAAATCCCATTGGGCGACTACCTCGTGCTGTATTATTGCTGGGGAGACCTGCACGAGAGGCGAGGTCAGCAGCGGAGACCCGTCGATTGCGATCCCAGACTGCCATTATCAAAGTGACTTTCTTATTTCATGTTATGACATAATCTTTCTATTTTGCCTTGAGCAACTAAAGGCTCAGTAAATGGAACTAATTACCTTAGGCTCAATTCACATTGACGTAAAGTCGAGTTGAAGAAAAAGGACAAATATTTCACAACCATAAACAAAGTGGTCAGCAAATTCGAACGCAATTATGATTTCAATATTTTTACTCCGCAAATTATTTGTGAAGATATTCCATTCGCCAATTGCCTAACATTTTAGAGTGGGTGTAAATTACGCGCCACCCCGATTATACACACAAATGAATTGAGTCTTAGGTTATGTTCACGTAAATAAGTCGGTCCGCGGTTCGAATAATATTTGCAACGTTAGGCACTACATTACTGTAATAAAACTTTTCCGATTCGACCGCAGCCTTTGTTTATTTTGCAGTAGGTACGTTAGAAAGTAATTTAATTTAAGAACCGGATATAAATATTAGATATATGTATAATGAATATGCACTTGCAAACCTTGAGGCCTGCAAACTGTAAGCTCGCATAATGTTTTGTTTGTGTGCGTTAGGATAACCTAAGATTATTGATATTCAATAGCAGGTAATAAAAAAAATCAAATATATAAAACTTAATTAATTGCTTTATACCTACCGAAAAAGATTATGTAATTTATGCCATATTAGACAATATGATGAAAAATAATTAATGATTAATGGTCTTGCATTATCAACTAAGGACAAGGAAACAATATTAATAATAAAAAAGAACCAACATATTATTACGCTTTTAAGATAAATACTCGTCTTTACTCATACATATAATATGTTTTGTCTAAAATTCTGTAATATTTATGAGTACTCGTAATATATATTATATTATATGTAGCGAAGTAATTTCAGATTATGATATCATTATAATATCTAATATCAAGAATTACGCAGCAGTAGCACAAACAGTCTCACGCAACTTTAATGTTACAAATGACACACTCCAACATCAATACACTGCCGAGTTATACCGCCCACAAAACAAAGCATTTCAGCTCGAGGTTACAAAATTTAAAAAGCATGATTTGATTAATGTATTAGTTTCAACATGGGTATTTAAGTTCGCAAACACTGTTACGTCGCCATATCATTTCAGACGGCAAAAGTATAAGTACCTAGTACTCGCCAAACGTAATTGCGCCTCTAAAGTTTGAGAATAGCTACATACGCAGAACATCTCAACATAGTATAAAACAAAGTCGCTTTCCGCCGTCTGTACGCTTCGATCTTTTAAACTACGCCACAGATTTTGATGCGGTTTTCATCAATGGCCAGAATGATTTAAGAGGAAGATTTGTATGTATATATAAAATTCTTGTGTATGTGAGTGACCTTTTCCTAAAAGGCCGGACCGATTTTATTGAAATTGTGTGTGTGTAATCAAGTTGATTCGAGAATGGTTTAGATTTACAATTGGACCCGGTAGGTCGCTCTGTTGTGCGATCCACGTGCAAAGCCGGGGCGGATCGCGTGTTTCTATAAAAAGGGAAGGGAGAAGTGTTAAAAACAGTATAGGTAGGTATCGTTTGTCAGTATTGCGATTTGCCCCCACTACATGTAGCAACAAATGGTAGTACAATAAAGTGTTAAAAATTATAAAAATTTTGGAATATAATTCCATTTTCTAATTCCGTTTATTACTTATTATTAGCCAGTGCTCGATAATAATAACACCAAATAAAATTCCACCGGTAATGAAAGCTTAATCACTCATGACTAAGGCCGACCACATACATACGGAATTCCGTTTCGATATTTCGATTCGGAATTCCGAACGCAGCAAGTCCATATAAAATCTATGGCTCGTCACACACGTACGGTAGTTTTCCGTTCGAACTTTTGCGGTCAAAACGGGATTCTGTATGTGTGTGGCCGACCCATTCGGAATTCCCGAAACGGAATTCCGTATGTATGTGGCGGGCCTAAGACGCACACGTTGTATCGGAGGGAATGACAGAAGCTATCCCACAACTTTGCTCTATACATTACAAACGACAAAGTAATTCGTCCGTTTGTCATTGGTCGTTGCTCGCTTAACACACTTAAGCTACTTTGCCTTTTTGAGTTGACGTCATCGCACCATTCGGAGCAGTGAGTTTATAAGCTCTACTGCAGTTTCTTTCGCACTATATTTTGCTCTTTACTGACCTAAGATCGAGGCTGGTATCTCTCTAAAAAAAGAGTTGCGAAGAGAATCCCTAAAGAATTCATCATTCTGTTCTAGATATGCTAGGTCCAGGAGTCCAGTATACGCTCCATAAACACACAGGTTATGTAGGAAATTTTAAATTGGCCGATAGTTGCCAAAGTCGGCCACGGCTTCTTTTGGTACGGGCTGCAAATAACCTAGCTACCAGGATTTTATCACTATTTAAACCCTAAATGAGAAGTGGAATAAACGTATTATCAACACATGAAACAACGCAGGTACACAAGCCTTTAGAAACTCCACTTTGTTTTATTTTTTTGGAGAACTTCGCGGCATCTTTAAAGTCTGTCTTCCTTAATCTGATAGTTTTGGCGACTGTACCACTGTAATATGACACATTTATAGTGGAAGTAAAACGTAAAATTGTTAAATGCACTACGCGCGATTGCAAAGACTCCCGTTTTCTTAGCTTACTTTCAATAACTTTCCTATAAAATCGTGTACTATGCATCAATCGTAAACTTAGTAAGCGCATTTAAATTTGGCAAGAATCATCGAAGTTATTATTTATCCAAATAATTTTCCACAATTTATTTGCTTGTATTGTTTTGTAACCTAATCTAGGTTTTTGTTCTAGTTTTTTATTATAACAAAGATTGAATAACTCTAATATGCAATTTGAATCAACAACTCACCGTTTGCATGGGAGTGGAGTGATTGAGGGTGGCTTGTTGCTGTACGGCCATGCCAACTGACGTTTGGACTAAGCCGCCTCCCACCAATGTCTAAATATGGCAATGAAAACACGTCTTAATAAATAAAATATAACAAATTATTTTATATTAAGCACATAGTTTTTAGCAATACTGGTCCGCCGGTACGCCTTTCTACTATCTTTTTTCATTAGTCTCAAGAAGAGAGTGTGAGCAATGAATACCAAACACCTAAGTGTTTTTTTTTTCACTGATTACGAAATATTGATATATGAAATATATCGTATCATAGACAAAAGGACATTAGTAGTAACTTAGTAAGTGCTCGCCTTAAATTTAATAACGACATCAGCAGCTATCTCCCACCCCACCAGTAATAAATATATCGGTATTTGCAAATTTAAGTGCCGATTTAAGATAAAAGGTACAGGAAAACATCTAATGGAAACCTTTTTGTATGCCAATTTTTTTTTTATTAGACAGTACATGTGACGCCTTTAAGGATACGTGACATCCTCCAACACGTTTCGAGGCAGTGCGGTGAACTCTTCCAATATCTTAAACCCTCTCATAATTCAGCGTAGTGCTGCCTAGCAGTGTGACATATATTATAGGTTTTTATTTTATTTTTTATATCAGACAAAATTGCCTATTTTTTAAAAAAATCTTAGGCGCCTTATTCAGCAAAGACAAGGGAGAAAAACAATCATTTATATCTGTACTTAGACCATTTAACCCAATGAACTCGAATCGCATGATTATTCCTCTCTGCCAAGGTATTGGATTTAAGAATCTTGTGCGTTTATAAAAACTGTTTACGGAATCGATTTTATCATTACAAGAATCTTTTCCACCGAAGTAGGTGCTCTTTGAAAATTATCGATCTGTGCGAAAAACATGTGCATAAAGCAGTCAAATACTTAAAATTTACAAAAATATGGACTTACATTCCATATGTAAGTAATTGTGAATACATGCTTTTTTCTATTAAAATCATTTAAAATAATATCATAAATAAGAATCGAAAACGTTAGCGTTGTGTAATCGAGTACATAATATATCATAAAATTCGTAGTAATAATCGCAATGTGACAACCGCACTCCCCACGAGACTATTTGTTTTATTTTTATTTTATTTTTATATAACAATTTCGACAAACAATGCTAAGGTCGAAATTCGAATAAACGAATAACATGGCAGCTAAATAAGTGTAGCGAGACTATTTCTTAACCCTGCAGTTGTCGCGCCTTATGTGTTTTCTTTAGTCGTTGGTACACTCTTCGACCAGCGAGTTACTATTTAAAAAATAAATCATAAATAAATGTACGTGCAAGTGCTGCACTGAGCGCACGTCCTCCTTATTTTTCAACTTTGTCAAAAGATTCACTTAAGTGACTTTTCTGAAGTTTGATATTATTTCAAAGTGGTTTAATATTATAATCTCCACGACCACTGTAGGGTAGCTTTTAGGTTTTTCCAAAATTGATGTGTACCTAATATGATAAAAAAAATGCAAGGTAAAATCGGTTCAGTCGTTGTGGCGTGTAGGAGTAACAAACGTCCAAACTTACATATAATATATAATATATTATTATATGTGTATGTATTCGCACATCATGTTGAAATGTGTTTGAATTTAATTAGGCATATTTGTTGCTTATACACTGGGTTAAGCATTAGGATAATATTTATCCCGAAAAGCTATAGTACAGACATTATTTCGCATTTATAATATTAGTATAGATTATCATAATTGTTCTACTTTTACAGATTTCCAAAAGACCCTCACTTAAAAATGAGGTAAGCATAATTGTGCAATCGACAATAGGGGTTGGGAATCTACCCGCAAAAGTACTATCACTTTAATTTGCGACGTTTACTAGACAAACATTGAAATAAATAGGGATGAATCAGTCTGTAACGCTTTACCAACATTACTGACAGATTCATGTTATGTAATTGTAAATATTGGGATTTTTTTGAGGCAACCTACTTCCACAAATTTTTGCTTTGGTACTTAAGAGCCTTTTTTTATTTCTGGTGTATATCTACGCTGAGCCGCGGACAGACGGACTTGGTGAAACTATAACGGTTCCTTGTTGTTTTACTACGGAACCCTAAAAAGACTTGTTGCGCTGACCAACTGCAAGATTTCAGATGATTTTAATTGTTATGGTTTGGCTTATACTTGTTTATTTTTCGCTCAGGGAAACTATCCATATAAAATATCGATATAGACTCATAATTTTTTCTGTGTTCATGTATTTAACCTATATGTGTGCGTAAAATGTATAGTGTTTGAGATTTAGATGTGTGCCATAATGACACAAAATTTTATTGAGTAAGTGTGAGTGTATCCTCGGCCCGCACTAAGTGACAGACTTTTTTGTTCGTAGCATTACTCGTCCTTTGATTGAATGGTCTAAGTATCTGTATGATTTTATTGTCAGCAGTTGAAATGAGATATCAAGAATATATTTAAAATTAGAAATGAAAAGATGCACACCTGAGGCTGCTGTTGCATGTTCTGGACCTGTGCGATGGAGGCATTCTGACCTGCTTGATTTGTGTTAATCTGCCCAATTAGAGTGCCCGGCTGGGCCATGCCACCAAGCTAAATGTTTATATATATTATTTATTAGGTACACAATATTCTCATAGTAGTTCTTAGTTAATAGCAATAAAATAAAACAATTTGTTTAAATTGTAATTTATAACTTGTAGATAAACATTACATAACCACAAAACGTGGTTTTACAACTGAGATACGAGTAATTAATCTGCTTTTAAAGTTCTAATGTTAAGTTCTACCATTAATATACACATATGGTTCTACGATAAGTAAGGCTAATGCTGTTATATATACATATATTTGATATAGACTGTGGAACCATCAATTAATAATAATATATAAATAATTAACTTACCGGGTGTATTTGTTGTACCATTGATATGGTTTGCGGCATCCCGGTCATGGGCAGAGTTTGGGAGACTGAACCCACTGGCAGCGTGCCTTGCTGCATGCCTAGAGTCATGCCTACATAATACAAAACGCGATTATCATGTAGTCATATCACTTTTAAGAGAAATCAACATCTATTTTTATTATAAACTAGCTGTTCTCCGCGACTTCACCCGCGTGTAATTTGGGTTTTAATTATGTTGCGAGGAACCTTAATTCTTTTTCCAAAAAAAAAAATAATATAAGTAGCCTAAGTAACTCCTAATAACATTAGCTATCTGCCAGTGAAAGTCCCGTCGAAATCGGTCCAGCCGTATCGGAGATTTTCCGGAACAAACAGACAGACAGACAAAAATTTTAAAAATTGTGTTTGTTATAAGTACCGTATATACTTTCATATGCATTTGGTAAAAAGCTGTTATTTAGACATTATAAACAGAACACTTCAATTTTATTATATTTTATTATATATAAATTTTATTTATTTGTATATAGATATAGGGATTTATTCATATTATAATGATACAGAATTACGACTTTAAAGACTAACCATGAATCTAGTTACACTTTTAAGTTGCATGTAACATAGTTGTGATCAAATGTCATCATCATCATTATCATCACCATAGATATTGCCTAATATATATCCCCCCTGTATATTTATCTTAATTAGCGACTTTGGCAGGTGGTAGCAGTTTATTATATTGGGCTGTTATCAAGAAGATCCTTCCACTAATCTTCTGAGTTCTGAGTTTTTGTTCTTATTGCAAAAGCTCAAAGGAAAATCATCAAGAGTGCACTTTTAATAACGTGCAACGAATTATTTCCTCATGAAACTACACGGTGTGGTGCTTTTAGATTATAATTATTATTTGGAGTAAGTAATATCATATATTGATATATAATATTAATCACATTAGTTTATTTTAACTGATGACGTCGTATTTTATATTATATACTATGCACGGTTGTTGCGTATCTTACTTTTAACGTATTCAAATACGCCGACATTTATTTTTCGTCTTAATCAACGGGCGTAAGGTATAGGTAGGATCTGATAAATTTTAATGAAAATCTTCGATTTTTGTGAAATTGAAAAGGAATTCGGAAACAAAATACAACTCATATAATTTTATTCCTGACCGTATACTTACATATTATATTTTTGTGCAATATCTCTAAAGATATTTATAAATTCTAAGTTGTTCATAAAATATTGTTGTACGTAGCTCACATGTTTATGGGTGCGTGCGTAGACAACATATTACTGAACGAATAAATTGCTCATATTTGTAATTATAAACTGTTGCAATGTTCAGAAATTTTTAAAGCATAAATCTTCTACCCATATACTAACAAACTTGATTGTCTTGTTGTGTATTTGTTATTTGTGGATGATTTTTATGCGCTACCTTGTTGTTGGTAATGCTGGACCATTTGCTGCGTTTGCTGTTGATGGATAAGCTGCTGCTGCTGCTGTTGTTGTTGTTGCTGCTGCTGCTGCTGTTGCTGTTGCTGTTGCTGCTGCTGCTGCTGTTGTTGCTGCTGTTGTTGCTGCTGTCGTATGATATAAAATAAAAACTAATGTTATAATATTGCAAAACTTAAATTTATGGAATCATGAGATCAAAGAAAGAAAAAAAAAGAAACATCTTTATTTGAAACTACGTGAATATATTATATTACATTATCATTAATGCAGCATCAAATAGGGATGCCTGACTTAGCATTGTGCCGCGGTGTAATAACCACAGCGCTGATATTACGCCGGTGCCCTTTACAAGAACTCATGAGCAAGCGCAAAACATGTTTTGTCTATTAGGAATGAAAGTAAAAATTGAGAAAATAAAGACTATGTTGCAACAGGTTAGATCACTACAGGCAGGTTCTACTCTTTAAAAACGCACACGCGCGCGCGCGCGTTTTTAAACGCGGACAGGGTGAAAAATTATGTGATAAGAGAAGAGTGTGGTTTGCAAGATGATGTTGTGACCAAGATTAAGAAAGGAATGCTTCGGTGGGTTGGTCATGTAGAAAGAATGAATGAAGAAAGAGTGACAAAGCAAATTTATGTTGCAGATGTAAGCGGCAGAGTCGGGAAACGCGCGAGGCGAAAGTTTATCGATCAACTTGGCGATATATTGAAAATGGGCCAAACTAAGAGTACCTCTAACCGACGAGCGTGTATGCGTATGTATATGGATGTGGAGGAAGCGGGAGAGGTGTGTAAGGATCGTGCCAAATGGAAGTCGATAGTATCTACCTATCCCTCTGGGTGACAGGCGTGAGTGTTTATATGATATTTATTTAAAAAGGTGTGAAATAAAAATTTATGAAAATTAATGACAGAAACAAAAATGTAAAAGGAGACATTACAATGGTCACCTGCATGGCCTGTTGCTGCATAATGGCTTGTTGCTGCATGTTCTTGTTGATAGGCTGCTTGTCTTGAACGCTCGTTATTTGTGTCATTTGACCACTCGAGTTCATTACCAAAAGCCTAGAAAACGAAAGTTTAATTAAAGTTATTTTATTACATTGTAATAGCACAGGAGCTGAATGTTTTTACCTGATGGTTAACTACTACAGTAGCTCATGGATTTTTTAAACAGAATTAGGGTGACAAACGCACACATAGTCCACCTGAGCGAGTGAGTCCCACGCGCCGTACGCGCCGAATTTTAGAATTCGTTGTATGAAATCATATGAAACCTCGCACATTACACCTGCACCGTACGCGCCGAATTTTATAAAATGCGGTAGGTATACGATATCGAAGGACGAATGCTGATGACGTCATATAACGCGGCGCGTGCTGATACTCAGTGTTGTCTCATGTAGCCAACTTAGGAGATTTTCCACTATAACTGGTGGTTTCGACTTACATGATAACTTTTGTATTTTTATAACTTTTAATTCATTTGTAATTATTTATACATAATTTGAATTTTTTTTTCATCGATTATCAATATGTATACTTAGCGATAAATTATTTAAATACTGAACTAACAAAAACATAGTTAAATTTAATTAAAAAACCCACTTATACTTGATTACTTAGTTAACAATAAAAATACTTACCTCAGACATACAACAAGTCTTTTATCTGGTTCAATTGGCCTTCTAAATCTTGAGTTTTCAATAGAAAGATATGGTCTTAGTATATGTAGCAATTCTTGAAATTTCTTGTATTTTAAATGCAAATATCAAAAAAAAAATCGTTCATCATCTAATAAGTCTTTAAATAAAGTATATTATCCCCTTCATATTCTCTATACAATTGCCTTTTTAAATTAATATTATGAATCCAGAATCTTCTTTTTCTTCGAATTTTATTTTCTTATTCCTTTGCCAATAAGCAGGCTATTACTATATTTCTTTCCATAGTGATTTCGAGCGATCAATTTCACTGTAGCGTTTCACACCAGTGGTTGTAAAAAACACCAAAATTTGTTGGTAATACAAAAGATTTGCGTACAGCGCGGACGATGCGTACGGACAAATGTGCGAGGCCATCAATAAAACTCGGCGCGTACGGCGCGTACGATGCGTACAGTGCGGACAAATGTGCGTTCAGCTTAAGTGGATGCTATGGGCCCATAGCCTATTAACATACTCTAGCTTCGCGTTGCCACCCTTAAAGGCTAAGATGGAATGATTCGCTTCCAGTAAAAAGGGTCTCCAAGTGAAAAGGTTTTCTACCCTCAACATACGAAACACAGCAGCATTAAGCTGCTACTTCACGCTGGTACTCCGTGAGTGTGTTCCTACCCTGATTGAGTCGACCCATTCGTGTTGCAGCTGTGTATAGCTCTTGTAGCTACAACATGATTTTACCATATAAAGCAGATACACGCCACAAACTCAAACAAAGAAGGCCTCTGTTTTGTTATCACATGTAATAATATAGAATGCCTAAGAACCTATATACTCCTCACTTAGCTGATGGAAAACAACTATAGATATACAGCTGCTTGACGATAGTCAGAGAGAAATAAGAGGTGAGGAGAGAGTGGAACCTACCCAAATGGAATCTTGGGAAGAAAAGAACTTCTAGGACCTATTATTAAATACACTCACGGTTGCTTGTGCTGTTGCATCTGATGCTGCATCTTGTTGGTCTGGTTGGCTGCATCTTGTTTTGAGGTCGGTGCTGGCGATCTTACGCCTGGCTTGCCCCGATGTTTGGCCTGAGTTTTATATCCATCGAAAAGTTTATAAGTTTGTATTTTCTTACATTTTAATTTGCCTTCCTAAGTAATACAGTATTTCTTTCCTTTATTTGAAGTATTTATTTAATATCTATTTAGTAAATTTAACAGAGTGAGATTCAGCTAATTTAATGAATAGACTGCGTAATGGGAATCATTTAAAAAATATATGAATCAACTTCAAAATATCATCGGATTTTATTAAAATCCGATAGCGTTTGTGCTAATGTGTCTTACAAAGAGGAATTCAAATGCTACATAGCAGTAACATTTTACTAATTTTTCAATATATATATGTGAATGAAAGGTATTTATTGACCCTTAGGTACCTGGTTTTGGGCCTGATTTGCATTAGTTTGAGTCGAGACCGAAGAAGCAGGTCTTATCCCGCCTGAGGGCAATATGTTTGAAAGCGGCCGCGGTGTCTTCGCCATGCCTTCTGAGGAGGCCCGGGGCTTCGCTGCGGTCCCCGAAGCGCACGCGACACTTGCATCTAAATTATTATTTTTATTTAATTGACACGTTTCTCGGACTGCAATTATTTATTTTAACACGCAATATTTTTTACAAAAACCACGCAAAGCAATTTATTGTTGTTTTAGAGCACCGCCAGCACAAATTAGTCACGTATAAATCAGTAACATTACGCATAGCTTTATTAATTTAAACAATGCCATGCAACATATACAGGTACCTAAAATGTTATCGTATATATTATTAATTCCGTGGTAAAAGTTGTACCCTCTAATTTTGAAGGTAAACAATAAACAATTTAAAATAAGATACTAACTGTTATGCTGCACAGTGTTCTGCGGAGAATGTTGTATGAACATAGAGGGCGGTGCGTCGGGTTGTGTTCCCCTTATAAAAATGGGATTAGGGGCGAGGAGCCCCCCCGCTGGCAAGGTCCCGGCTTGCAATCCTCCCGTCCACACTTGCGGGAGAGCGCCGGATATCTGCCACGGAGCGAACTGCATCGTCTGCCCGCCGGTCTGCGGAATCACCGAACACTGAAGTTAAATCATAAGAAGCCAAACTCAGCCGCTCAGGACGACGTCACACGGTGCTGAACATACGCAAACGCTCCACGCTCTTACTACTTCTACTTTGAGACCGAACAAGGTTTCATTGTCAATTATATGTGACTAATGCTTAATAGTGGTTAAATCAAATTATAAAACAGCGTAGAGTACACCTATATACATACACCTACCATAAAATATTTCTTTCAAGTATAATGAGATTTAACGGATCTTGAGCGAAATGCGTCACGAATATTAAACTATTAAAATTTTAACGCTCATACAACCACGTGTAATAATGATGCTTTTTTATTACATAGTGAAATTAAAACTTAGGATTTATTTTATGTTTTTTTGCTTCATTTGACACATAGTATTTATGACTAGTACTCGTAATTACCACATTAAAATATTGCTTTAAACATAAAACATACCGACCATACCGAACCGAAATCGACCACATACAACTCGTGAAAGCTATCAGTTACAGTTTTTATTACGTGGTGAGCCCTGCTACAGCTATCTTGGTTGCAACACAAATGGGTCGGCTCGACCGGGGAAGGACCACGCACTCACAGAATACCAGTGTAAAATTGCAGCTCAATGCTACTGTGTTACGAGTAGAGAACCTAAGACCCATTTTACTGGATACGAGGCAATCCGTTTTAGTCCTCAGGGGTACCTGCATTTTGATTCTTAATCGAGGACAGCTATCTATGGGCCACAGTATACACTTACCATCAGTTGGACTGTGCTCTCTTGTCACATTATAATTCTATAAAAAAAGTTACCATAAAAGGGGTGAATAGCAATGATTTTCAACTTTGCCCAAAGAATTTGTTGTCAATATTTTTTTTTTTACTTCAAATGATTTTATATCATGTCCGGTACCATATAGAAAAAGTATATTATAAGAATATGTTTCAACTATAAGCATAGCTTTTCCAGAAAATTTGGCAAAATATTTACCATTTCTATTCACCCAACGACTGGAGTCAATTGAAACGCGTAAAGGGGTAAATGGAAAGACTGTTAGGACTGCCACAAATTATTTTTATCCAACATGCAAAAAAGTAAGGAATGTTAACGAACTCTGTTCAATAAATCAAACAAGATACTTTACCGTTTATTCGTATTTTTATTTGAATGAAATAAAACAAAATACAAAACAATTTTTTCAATTGAAAGTTGCATATATGACTAAAAATAAACTGTAATTATAAATCTTCAACTTGAGCCTACGTTATAGATTAGTATAGAACCAGTACAGCTATGTAAAAATAATCAAAATTCTTAAAGATTACCAAACTAAACTTAAAAACTATCTAGATCTTCTAGTTAACATCATCCTCTTCTAGAACTTTTACTATTTCGTCACTTTCGTCATTATTGTAGTAATTATTTATTTGGTTTTTCCTTGGCAATTTAATGAGATCTTGTACCGCTACAGTATTTATTTTATAGTAGGTAATCTGGATTTTTGTTATACTGACCTTCATTCACTATCTCATTGGATATCATTTTTATTTTACTCTCCATAATATTATTGTCATCCACAGTTTTTCCTATAGTGATCGTTACGTCTTCACATAAGCTATCAAAAAAAATAGAATGGGTAGAGTTTTGATGTCTATATCATTATGTATTTTGCACTGTAATTCTTCTATGTTATTATCATAATAATCTCCGTATGCCGTGACGTTATCGTAATTTTCCTGTCCTGTATTTCCGTGTTGTTTATTGTTATTATTATTGTCCTTGTCTTCTCTTTCTAATCTTTCCCAACTTGATTTTTTGGTTATTTCCTCCATATCTTTTCCTTCAATTGTAAATATTCTTTATTTCTCAATTTAATTGTGGTGTGAATTTCCTTGTCTTGTTGTTTTTAATTTTGTCGATTTTTTTTCTAGTATTTCTTTTGCTTTCAAATTGGGTATCTTAGTTATTTTTCCAATCCCTTTACCTATTCCTTTGTTAGGTTCTATTTTATTAGGGCGATTTACTTTTTCTTTATTTACTTTTATTTTCAAGTTTGTCATTTTATTTCTTTTAACTTTTCCTTTATTTTTATTATTTAAACCTTATGGACCACTAGTACTTGTATCGTATTTTGTTTTTGTTTTTTTAGGATTTTCCATAATGTAATCAACATCAGTTTCTGCATAACCTTCAATTTCTTCTCCACCGACACTTTTACCTGGGAATACATTTTCTGTTTCTTTTAGACTCCATGATGTTTATAGATCCATATCACATTTCTTTGAGCAGTGTTACAACACAATCAGAATCTTCTACAGGATTTTGAAGTCTGGTTATTATTTCATGTACATTTAAAGGGTTAATCTCTGTTTTCTTAAATATAGCAATAATATTCTTTGAAGCATTTATATTAAGCTCATCAATTAATAATTATAATAGTTTTGGAAAGCAACCTTTTGGATTTTTTTTATATTATACTAAGCCAGCGCTTAACTACAATCTCACCTGATAGTAGTGATCTAGTCTAAGATGGTGTAGCCAATCAATCATCTGTCTTTTTCCATTTTAATAATAATTGCCTCCAGGCGCACCTCATTGGACGATAAAATGCCACGTCGAGCGGTTGCGTCAGGTGAGTTGAGTTCGCTGGTAAGAATACAAAATCGATGTTGTGCGCTTTACATGTTTGGATCAAATCTGCTGATAAATGTGAGGACAGATTGTCTTCAATGAAGCACTTTTTGCCTGGTAAATCCCCAGTTCTCAAAAGTGGTTCCATCAAACCATTCAGATGTCGACCTGTTATATCGGGCACCGTCAAGACCTTGCTGGACCACATAAATGGGTTGCTTTATATACCACATATGGCGGTAACATTTTATCATCTTCGAAGCTTTGGTTTGGTTTAAAACCATTTCAGGGTCTTAGCATTCCCGCTTGACTAATATTTTCTTCCACCCAGGGTCGTCCTACAAATTTTTTCTCATCATAAAGTGTTAGAAGTAGGTACTCCATTTCAAGGCTTCTCAAGTTCCATGAAAATTCTTTAACCGTATCTGGAGATACCTTAGCTTTCACACGCCTGATATTTTCACAAATTCTTTGAGAAATCTCTTTTTTGTGTGTTATGGGTCTAAAATGTATCTGAGATCCATAGTATCTAGGGGATAGCTCCATTCTGTGCATTTTTGTTTATGTTTTCTATTGAGAACATTTCAGTATTATCGAATAGAGCTCTTTGGTCTAGGTATCCCATGTACTGTGACGATACAACACCCATTTTTATATGTCATACTCTTAGGAACTTTTTCTAATTTAACATTTCGAGGAATTACATACTCTTCCACAGCTTTTTTTATTATTTCCGAGTTATATTTTTTATACCTTTTCCTTGTAGGATCGGGTCTGTATATACCACACGAAATGTAGAATATTCACAACAACACAACACAAAACACTCACGCCTGTCACCCAGAGGGGTAGGCAAAGACTACTGACTTCCATTTGGCGCGATCCTGACACACCTCTCTCGCCTCCTTTACATACTTATATCTACGCATACACGCTCGTCGGTTAAGGGTACTCCTAATCTGGTCCATTTTCAATGTATCGCCGATTTGGTCGATAAACCTTCGTCTAGGGCGTCCCTTCCCGAGCCTGCCGTTCAATTCTGTAACATAAATTTGCTTTGTCATTCTTTCCTCGTTCATTCTTTCTAATTGACCAAACCACCGAAGCATTCCTTTCTTAATCCTGGTCACACCATCATCTTGCTAACCACACTTTTCTCTTATCACACTATTTCTCACCCTGTCATTCAGATTCAGCCCTAGCATACTCCTTAGGGACTGCATTTCTCATTTATTCTACTCTCATGCTTCTTCTGCCAGACCCAACTTTCACTACCATACATTAAAGTAGGGACTAACACAGCATTATGAATTGCTATACGTGCCTTATTTGACACATTATGACTCCTCATAATAGCGTGTAGAGCCCCATTCACTCTATTGCGTTCACTCGTTGTTTCCTCATCATATCTATCATCCCTGCTAAATAAACATCCCAAATATACAAACTCATTCACTTGCTCAATCAACACCCCTTCTATTCTTATTTCACATAACGTTTTACTTTCTTCTCTTTCAAAAACCATCACTTTTGTTTTACTTGCGTTCACTTTCATACCCCTTTCTTTTAATGACCAGTTCATTATAGTAACCTTCTTTTGCAAGTCGGTCGCCGACGATGCAAATATGACTTGATCATCGGCGTACCAAAGGCATTTGACGGTTAACTCGCCCATTCTCAACCCACATCCTTCACCTTTCAAAGTTTGCAAACAACTGTCCATAAATAGGTTAAACAGCCACGGGGAAGCTACACAGCCCTGTCTGACACCTTTTTGAATGTCAAACCAGTCCGAGTAGACCCCGTTGATCCTGACACAAGCACTAGAGTCCCTATAAAGAGACCTTAATGCCTGTATCAAGCCAGCGGTCAACCCAAACGAGTTCAGTGTTTGCCATAACACATTCCTGTCCACTCTGCCCTTCATCTTGTAACCTCTCTATTCTTATACGCTCTAACGCAGTGGTAGACACAGATGTTCGATGCCGCCAACGCCTGAATAGACCATTAATTCGGTATAAGACCAGGTAATGATCCGTCCCTACGTTGGGCCCCCGGTATACCCTTGTATCTACCACTGAACTACTCATTCTTTCATCCACAATTATGAAATCTATCATCCCCTAATTCCCATGTATCCTCTTGAATATTCCTACGGCGGTATATATTTATTTATCAATCACTAAATCCACAGCTTCCAGATACTACCTATATATTATGGACTTACTATTTATTAATACAGAAACTATGAAATTAGTTATTTAGTTATGTTAACAGTTTTTGACAACCCTATTTATCCCTATTGACCCCTCAGTAGTTTCTATTCACACATTAAGCGTTTCCATTATTCCCTAATATATTTCCATTAATAATAATCATAATAATCATCATCTTTATTCAGGCAAATTACACCCATATCCAGTAAAATCAATGAATTTAAAATCAGTCTCCAAAATTTTAGCAATAAATAAATCATTGTCAATAATATCAATAATATTCTCTTCATTAGATTCTATTAACCCCTTTTAAACAATAAATTTACACGCAATGTGATTTAAACGAATTTTTGAAGTTTAATAACGGATTCTCACTTACCTTCACTGAATTTTTATAATTTATCACACACGTAATGAGATAAACACATCAAATAGCACAATGCACTAATTTTTCATACCTAAGATTAAGAGCTACGGCAGTTAAATTAAACGCTTTCACAGAACCTAGACTTTGAAGTAAATTTTGAAGGACAAAAATGTCAATTTTGACAATATTGTTGCCAACGCAAAGAAAAAATGTTGAAGTGTAATAATTTAAAATTATACCAAAATCCTTCAACGAAAAATAGTCAAATATTAACCTTAAAATTCTACATAATACTTAATTTTATCTACAATATTAAAAACTATGATAATAAAAAAAAAATTAAAACTAGAAATTTAATTATCATATATCTTATATATTAAAAACTTATCCGATATTTTATCTATTCGCCCCGTAATTTCTATACACGTTTTACGGTACGCAGACAATATTGTTGTGCAACAAGTGCGCGCGCTAACACAAAAAACTAAGCTCGTCCTTATCTCCTGGTACTTCTGCTTGAAATAACAATGTTTGTACAATAAAATCGGACGTGAATTAGGATGGCGTGTAGGAGATATGCGACATGTAAGCCTGTATAAAACTATAAAACACGTTGATGCAAGATAAACAATCGCTAGGCGTAAATGATGTGCTATTGCAAATAAAGCTATGTTATACAATTTTGGAATTCGCCAAATGCATATAATAACAATTTCAATCAAATAATAACACATCATGACAATATCAAACAAATAAAATAAATATTATACGATAATGTTGGAGTGAACATGGAATATATAAGAATCCAACACAAAAATTTGTTATTTCTGCGTTGCTATAATCATGGAACCAAAATAATTAAGTACTTATAGATTTTAACCTCTTATTCAAATCTTTATGTAGTGCGTTGTGTGCAGTGAACTCGATTAGCAACTGTATATCTAGAAGTGGATATCTATCCCTTCGGTACGAACATTCCTGACGAAGCATTTTAATTTTTAACAAACTTCAAAAAGGAAGAGGTTTTCAATTCGAGTGTATGTTTTTTTGTATGTTACGCGATATCTTCGCAGGTTGCGAATCAATATTGATGATTATTTTTTATTAAATAGGTTATACTGCAAAGATGGTCCCGTATAAATTTGAATAAAAACCAAGAATTAATTTTTTCAAGTGTTACTATAAACATACACATTTATTGTAGCATATTATACATTTTAATCTAGATTCCTAATATTTCAGCTGTCAAAGCAGTGTTCTAAGAAGTATTAAGTGTATAGTATCAAAAATCAGACTTCGACTGCAGACCCAGAATATGTTGCAAATATTTTTTAACTACTTGGAAAAGAAGTTAACTCTTTGACTTTGCTTGACTAGCCAAAGCGTTAAATTTACTATAACAAATCAGTAATATAAGGTCGGGGAAAAAGTTTCTTCGTGTTTTATATACAAATTCAAGACATTTTTTTAAAGTTTAATTACATTTAATTATAACATATTATGTGCCATAACTTCTCGCCATTTTGTGGATAGTGACATAATCCCGTTGCTGTAGAAATCTTGGGATTTTTTCAGTCCTCTCTTAATGTTAACCTAAACTACCCAAAAAATTCTGAAGAGACTATATGGTGGATGCATTAACACTTGCCAACCAAGTTCTCTCAATTCTTGCTGAGTGGCCAAAGATGTGTGTGTTGTCTGGCATTATCATGATGAAATACCACTCCATTTCTGTTGATCAATTCCGGCCGTTTTTCTCAACTTCTTGTTTGAGTCTCATTTCAGAAATCCGAATCGATAGTTTCGCCTGGCGTTAAAAGCTCATAATAAACGATGCCCTTCCAATCCCACCATACTCACAGCATCACCTTATTGCGTGTCAATCCGGGTTTCGCTACAGTCTGTGGAGCTTGACTACCCTTTGACCATAATCTTTATCGCACGTTCTTGTCTTCTTGTCAATCTTTTCAAAAATGGTTCGGTTTCATTAGGTTTCAATAGAGAATCGCAAATGAGTACACGATTCATTAGGTTTCTTTCAGTGAGCTGGTGTGGTACACAAATATCGAGCTTTTTTGTACAGCCACACTTTTTCAAACGGGTCAAAACAGTTTTATGGTAAATCCTCAAATCAATAAATCAACAAATCCGTAAATCCTCGGCTATGTCGTAACTACTAATATGCCGATTTTGCTCCACTTTTTTCAAAAATGGCATCGACTTTAACCGTATGAGGGCGACCAGAGCGAGTTGCATCATTGACATCAAAATTGCTTTAACCAACTTTGTGCTACTCTTACTGACACTGCATTAGGTCCATAAACGTTGAAAAACGGCGGGAAAGTGTTTTTTAATTTTAAGTGATCTTTTTCTTAATGTCCTATTGATATTAAAATCAGCCAGATACAAACAGTACAACCAGAGATATTTCTTCAATTTTATACAACACACACACACATGAGCACGCACGCACACGCACACGCACGCACACACACACACGCACACACACAAACTTATAGAAAACCCTCATTAACTAAATATAAGCTTAGTTTATTGTATTTCCTTTTTAATTATTTTGTGTTTATTTCATTATTGCTATAAAAGAGCAGGGCATCCTGACACAAGTATATAATATTTACATAAAAGGATGTTCCACTTACTCCCATACCTATGTAATGTATAATACCTTGTTAAAGAAGTAAACAATTTCTTATTTTTCAATTTCATACAAACAAAATGCGAAGAAACTTTTTCCCCGACCTTTTATAATAACCGATGTTAATTTAAGAACTAGTTTTTCTGTTTAATTATAATTGCGGATCATCCATAGTTCTTCAAAGAGATGAACAATACGATTTACAGACCAGGTCATATGAGGGGTATATAGTTAACAATACTAAAGTATATACACGTGGTAGGTGTGTATTTAGGGCAGCGAAAATATTAGAAAACCTCTGTAAACTGTTAGTTGCGTGTTTGAGTTAAGTGTGTTAAATCTGAAAATCGCAAATGCTGTGTATGATACAAATAATACCTGTAGCGGGCTGATGATCTGCGCTTGAGTAGGCTGCTGCGCGCCGAGAACAGGCTGCGATACTTGCACGCACTGCGTCTGCACGGGAATGGTTTGCCCACCACCAGCCCCTCCACTGCCAACTTTACCCCCTGACACTTTGCTACCGCTCATCACCTACAAGAAACGGACTTAGTATTACTAGTGTGTTTACGTCTACAGTGTTACACACTAAGTTCTTATATTATAATTGTAATTATCAAATATAAATAGTAATATAAATTTCGAAACGGTACAATGGGCAACTAATTGCAATGATTATGTTACGCCTGTGTCAGTGTAGATTTAATACTAAAAATTCCAGCTCAATCGGTTGAGGATCTGCTTTAAAATTCTGTACCAAGATTGACCCCAACAAACATTGCTTTAGAAATACAAATTTTTAAAAACACCCTGTCTGATCCAAAAGGCAAACAAAAGTACCGCAATGACATTACCAAAAAATTTAAAAAAATGTTAGTATTATTAATGAATAAAAAATGTTACTGTTGTTAAAAATACTTGTTTTTACTTGTATTAGCTAAGGAATCAGGAAACTAATATCTAATAACACAGTCGTCGGCGACGGTGTCTTCTAACGTGTGGCGGTATTGTTACATAACGGCCGCCGTATTCCTACCTAGATCTTAATATGATAGTGCACCATCAACACAATGTAACACGAGCTCCGACGCAATCGTACAATTTGTTGATACGATAATGGTAATATTATTAAATATTCGAAATTGGTCATTTGGGATAAAATTGCTATTTCTATTTTTTTTTTAAAACTTTAACACTAGGATTTTTTTCGCACCCACTTCATATCCAGACTCGGAACAATTTTTATAGGCCACATAAATACTTGTTCCGTTCGAGATCCAAACCCGTAGCCCAGTAGTAGCGCCGCAGCCAAATGCGTAGCTACTGTGCTATCGACTATGAGAATATTACATGTAATCAAAGTCACGATAAGCTCACGAATCTCCGCCATATTAATGCTAACAAGGAAACATAACAAGTGGTAAAATTAAAAAATTTGTACAACCGACTTCAATATAAATTATTAAAAATAACTCCAAAACTATTGGTCAGACGTTGATCAAATTTTTATCGGACTACATGAAAAGCACCAGTTTTCAAATAAAAAAAGTAACATCGAAATCGGTTCACCTAGAAAAAAGTTATGAGGTAACACACATAAAAAGGACATACAGTCGAATTGAGTACCTTCTCCGTTTTGAAGTCGGTAGAAAATGGCCAATATTACGATGTTTAAGCAAATTAGTAGTGCTAGTAGTGATCAGCATTAAATCCTATCAATGACCACCGCTGACACAGGTTTTCTCCAAAGCACAATCCTGAGTTTGTCTGAGTTTTACTCCATGCTTCATAAAATCGTCACCTTGGGTGGTTGTTCTAAAACTCGACAAAACATCGATTAACAGTACTCCTAATTGTATGGTCGATCTAGCTTAACTCTATCGTAAAGTAATAGTATATATTTACCTTGTGCATATCACCCTGTTTTTGTTGCTGGCCTATCCCAGACACAGTGGGCTGGGAGTGGGTAGGTATTATACTCGGCTGGGAGTTTATGACGCCCAGTGGACTGAACACGAATGTCTGGTTCTGGGTGGTCGGGATGGCCGGGATAGTGGTGTACCCCGGGAACGGCGCTGTATATTAATATATTTATTAAAATGAAAGCCGTTTTATAACGCTTCACCGATCAAATTACGACCCACTATGTTTTAATTTCCTTAAAATCATTTAAAGTGAGCGGTAAAATTATTTGTGCGGGAATATTATTCTAATATAAAAAAAGGACTGTCTAATACATTCTACATATTAATGATAATTTTTAGCAACGGTTGAGTTTGAGCTTTTAAATTCTCGAGTTTTGACAAGTAATATGAAATATAATTTTCTAACGCTATACGATCTAACTAAGAGACACAAATGCGTAAAGTTCGTTGCCAATTATAAAACAGATGGTAAACTTTATTATACTACTAAATATAATATTTACACACTTTATTAATAATAAGGATATAAAATCATAGTGGTTCTTATTATTTTATTTATCAATTGTTGATTAATTGCAATACATATACACTGACCACAATCTCCTCTCATATTTTATACATGCTTATTTCTACTACCATACAAAAGCTGTTGTTACGAACTAACATAAAATTAATTAAGATTTTATACAATAAATTATAACTTAAAAAAATGTTTCATTTAACGTTAACATTAAAATAAATAAAGAATAATATAACAAATAATAGAAAATTAGTAGGCAATTCAGTCCCACCACAACTACAAATACTGATCTTGACGGTACGAGGTTGCTACACTTTCCCATCGCTTGTCTGTTCTTCGGGAGTAGGTATCCTATAATAGGAATGATATACTGGGCTAGTTCCCCTTCAACCTGCTAAGATATACTCGTGCTCGCTAAAAGTTAGGGTCCTTTGGGAATTGTTTCATTTTTTCGGGAAAATGTTATCATTCTGTCTGTTATCTTTCTGGGCCTGTATAGGTTTCGTAATCCTACTCTGGTAATGAACTAATGAAAAACTAAAGTAAAGACCTCGCAGCTTCACTGTACACAATTTTCAGCACCATGATATACCGACAGTTGAAAGAATGCAGTCTTCTGTACAGTTTTTAAATCAATCGCGAAAAGTATAGTTACGTACTAAATGGGGTACTAAACGATTTTTCTTACCCTACAAAAACAGACAAGAAACAATACAATTCTGAATACTGATACTGCTTTTAAAAAGGACTTCAATATACATTAGAGTATGCTACTCTATTAAATTTTTTTACAGGAGTTTTAGTACTGTTTCTCGACCCGCTATCAGAAGCTTCGCTATAATCTTACATTATACTACATAGGTACTTTACCATTGTGAATGCTCTGGTGAGTCATCTACATCTCGTTTAAACCGTTGTAGATCACCAACTGCTACTTGTAATAAGATCGCAACTCCCACTAGCGTATGATTTCAACGGCTATAGGTATATTATATCTATAGAATGACTCAATCTCACTCAAAATTTTGATAATTGCTTCATTCCGGTCGTCGAATCCCTGGTGATAGCTTTAAAGCCTTGGTTCTGCTTAATCGCCCTTGCAATACGATTGTATCTTAGTTGCGGGAGGTTCGTCATTACATTTGGAGATCTATTTGTTTGTAAACTATATATTGTTAAGCTATATGAGTTACAGTACAACTTTATATCCCGTCCAGCAGCTATAAAATATTGATTGAAGACGGTTTGCGGCGTATCTTACAAAACTTAATTCAGACGGTGTTGTCTAGAAATCGAAGGTGATTTTCGATCCGGTGCCGAAGAAATTTAAGCACTCCTTCCGTGCAATTACCGCGGTCGTAATCGTTTTCAGGGATGATTTGGCTGCCAGGGACTGATTTGCCATGCTGAACAGCCGGGTTGGCAATTGCATTCATTTACATGTTCCAGGGAACTACTTTTGCCTTCACTCTTAATAAAATGTAAATTATCCAAAATCAAAGATATTATAAAAAATAATAATACATTTCATAATTTAAAAAAATAAACCTACTCTTGTGTGTGATAGAAAAGGCGTAATTTGCGTGAAAGCCGTAAAGAAGCACTGTTGCACCGAACAGGTGGTAAAACATATTTTTAGCGGTGACAAAAAGCGCGCGCCTGCGGACAGCTTGCACTATGATTTTACCATGACATCCATCCCACTGAGTAAGAAGCTTACAAATAAATCCCAAAAGTTATGCCAATTAAAGAAATCAAATTACAAAAATAAACGATTGTCCTCCAATAAAACAAGAAGACAGACAGACATTCACATATTCAACCAATAACAAGACTCGAAACAAATATTAATATGAATCCATCGTAAATCTTTTATAAACCTTGTTCCTGATAGGCAGTTAGACCTGTAAAATTTACTATAAAACTGAATAGTGCAGAAGTTCTTAGCGATAATAAAGTTGTTTCCTAATATGTATTTATTGCATATAATTAATGATATAATGATGCCACTTTATGCATGTTAGCTGTGAGTTCCATTCCGCAAGTGGAATGAATTGTTCGGTTTACAAAGTAAAATATTAACTAAGATAAGAATTGCTCAATTGTTCACTTAAGTTTTCTCATTGATGATTAATTCATTTAAGACTAGGGAAATAATAAATACAAGTAAAATAAAAAAGGGTAATTATCGTCCACGTGGAATATTCTAATAACGGAACGTATTGGAGATGGAGTGTTGGAGAATGAGACGACCTTTGATAATTGTTTTGATTTTTTTTAAAGTAAAACATAATAAATAAATTACTTTTCAAAGCCATCTTGATTAATATTTTAAAATAAAGGCCCTATATGTTTATCAAAAAAGTGACTTAGCTTAACACGACAAAATTAAGAAATGAGTAAAATGTCAGATAATTATACAACTGCGTGTTTGAAGCTACTACTGAAAACTCTCAGTGAAAGCTTAGTTTGTAGTGGAACTAAACTTAAGCACTTATTTCTAAAAGTGTATCTACCTGTGAAGTTATGTGAGGGTTACATGTTTTTGTCAACAATCAATGAATCTCTGTTAGTAAACATCGATACAACTTATTAAGTTTCAACATACTTTAAATTCAAATCATACATAAAAAGCCCACTCATTACCCACAAAGGCGTTTAAATTTTAAATAATTGAAGCAATAATAATAAGTAGTACACGTTGGCTATGAAACGGGTAACGATATCGAGAAATCATTTTCACAAATCATATAAGAATATTATCGGTATCGGGTAACGATTACCAGTTGATACGATTATGTATAGTCGGTAATTGTATATGGGAATCTATGATTTGAAAACAATGATATTAAAAAAAAACAAATACGTACTAAAAACTTCTCGCGGAACTGAAATGTGCCATTACTGTGACAAGTGAAGATCATGAAGGTCTAGAAAATTTATGTAACAAATATACATTAAACATCAATTTTGAATAAAAACAATCGTTTCTTAAACAATAAGTAACCTGTGTCAGTATCGTGTTAATTTGTTGCGATCTTTGTAGATTACATTGATTGATGACCAAATAAAATTAGTTATCTCTTTCATTCATATGAGGAGCGTACAAAAAAGTAAGAATGAAAAGTCTTTGGAATTTAAAAAAATAAACATACTAAAGCAGGATAAATTTTTGTTTTTTAGAAAATAAAAGTCATTTGCTTTTTGTAGTGTGTAGTGGCGGAAATGGAAAAAATTGCGCTGTTATTATATGTTTTGGAAAATTTCACTACGGATAAGTCAATTAAGATTTGTGGGATACATAAGGGATAAAATATGCTATAACATTTAATAAAATTGTACCTATAACATACTCGTTCTCATTTTTTATTGCGACTATAATATACACTTACTTGCAGCGTATATATTTTTGCATTTCCTAACAGACAATTACTAATTAATTTGTAACTTTAATCATTTTGTTTGTTCGTAACGTATCTATAGTTACAAGACAAACGGATGGCAAAGTTTACCTTAAGATTTTTTTACATCATTGTGCTCTAATTACCTTGTTATCTAATTATCCTTGATTAAGAACCAAAATGTTGTCACTCTTGCGGACCAAGTAAAATCGTTTCTCAGTAAAAAAGAGTCTTCGGTTCGCTACACTCACCATACGAAACACGGCAGTGTTACGCTGCTATTTTACGCTGGTATTCTGTGAGAGCGTGGCTCTCCTATCCTGGTCGAGCCGACCCATTCTTGCTACAACCGTATTAAAGCGGCATTCATTATGGCTCTATAACGTATAAAAATTATTCGAAATATTACGTAAAATGGCTTTAATGTATTATGAAACTCACCTGTTTGGCCTTGTAAGACCTGTTTTCCTTGAGTGGTAAGCATGTGCGGCGCGAGCTGATTACCCTGGAATGGCTTGCCGGCAGCTATGACCTATGCGGGGACAACACTTAATTACTTGCCTCGTAATAACTTTGGTGGAGGCGTAACGTGACTTAATGAAATGAAAAAATTATTATATACCCCGGCGAAGGTGAAGTAGCGTAAAAAGTGCATGACGTATAGTACTATATTGTATCTGCCTGTAAATCGAAGCTAGTATGGTGATTTCTCTCTAAGCTATGTCCAGCAGTGAACTGTTTGTGGGCAGTCGAAGGCTCGAAGGCAGAAAGTACGGTGTTTATTATCCAATTTTTTTTCGAACACTTCAATAAATTTATTTCAACCTATCTCTAGCAAAATATTACAGCACTGATTAGATTTCTATTAAAAATTCAAAAAGAGCTATTATAAAATAGCTTTGTAAATTGTTAGATTTAGTAGATTTTTATATAAAACTAGCGACCCGCCCCGGCTTCGCTGAGAGGAGATTTATGATGTCCATTTTTTAAATAAAATATAGCCTATATCGTAGATGTTCGTAAAGTTTTATCACATATCGGTTCAGTCATTTCGAAAATTATCTCGAAAAGACAGACAGAGACTGACAATAATTTTAAAAATCTTACACTGAACTTAATTGGAGGCAGTTTTTACAATATTATAGATAAACATTTCAATTTTATTTATACGCAGATAAAATATAAAATAACCTGAATTTGCTGAGAGTTGATACCGGGATGAAGGGCTATATTCCCGGGCATGATTAGCGGGCCCTGAGTGTTATACAGTTGTTGAAGATAAGTACTGTTCTGGAGGGGCTGCTGGATCACCTGCACTCGGCTGTGACCCCATTCGGCACTGCACAAGCAAACCTTAGTTAACTACTATAGACTAAGATCCATTACGCATGCAATCAAATGTTAAACCTTTATACGGTTTAATATAACTATTATATGAATATATTATTATATTATTTTATATTAATTTGTTCACCGTGTGGTGGCAGTGAAAGAGAATTCATCACCCCATTTCCTCTCGCAAGTGCGACTCTAGCGACATGCGTAATAGATGTCGGTATACCATCTAGTCTACGCCAGATGTAAAAAGCCATGACCGGAGATGGGCACTGTGATTGCACATCCTCTTCACAGCGGGAGAAGCCCATATACAGCAGTGGACTTTCACACGCTGATGAAGACGGATGTTAGTTATTATTTACTATTTATTCATACGTAAAGAAAAAACTTCGTACATCTTTTTAAGCATATTGCTCGCACACAGGAGAGTGAGATTTGGCATATTTGAAGTTTATATGGAGGTTATGTTACAAATACATTGTTTATAGTAGAGGAGCCCACGATGCTTAATGGGAATTTACTCGATCGTAGTGGGAACCTATTGGATTTTGAAGATTAGATGAAAGAAAGAAAAATAAGTTATATGATGATGAGATACCCTTTCAACGGTTCTTTCAACGGTGGGAGAGCGTCTTCAGATTTTGGTGGAAATATTCAAGCGCATCAGATATTGATAGCGCATATGCCCTACGTGTCTACACAAACAGGTATTATGTGTGGTCCTTCCCCATTAGTACTGCAGCCATTTGCCATTATCCAGCTGCAACGAGGCTTTACCACATAAAAATACGATAAAAACCGGCCTCAGTCGGTCACATGTCTCCTTTGACTCATCGGGTGTTACAGCGGGTGGAAGTCATACGTAATATTAGTTATTTCTTAGTCATGCAAGTTTCCCCACGATATTTTCTTCAACCTATACATGATTAATCGAAACTTGAAATCGTATCACAATTTCTATGGACCCTTAAGGAATTGATGCTAGTTTTGCTTATTAGCAAATTTGAAATGAGCATTTTGTATGACGTAACATGACGTTGTTTTATATAGAATAGGGGTGACAAAAGAACAAACAGTCCACCTAATTTTAAGTGGTTGCTGTGGCCCAAAGACACCCCTGAGAACTAAGATGGAATGCCTCGATTCCAGAAAAAAAGGTCCCCGGTTCTCTACACTCACCATGCGAAACATGGCAGCATTAAGCTGGTATTCTGTGAGAGTGTGGTCCTTCCCCGGTCGAGCCAACCCATTCGTGCTGCAACTATACTACTAATATAGCTGCAGCATGGCTCTATCACGCATAATTGTAACAGTTTACACAGAAAAAGAAACCTTAAATACGTTACAACACGCACGTGTAAATGTTTTAAAAAGAAGCGAAAAAAAAGTATGAAGCTTTACTGCTTTATGCTTTTTACACGCAGGCAGCGTTAACAACGAAGAGTTTAAAGCATTTTGAAAAAAGTCAATATAGCCTTCCTTTTCCCAGTAAAATTTCTATTTAAATACAATTAAATAAATACTACTCTACTTTCATTTAGACTGCTACTACGTGTTACAGTTAAGCAAATAGGGATATCTCAAGCACTAACCTTATCTGCTGTGGATGTTGTGTATTCTGTGGCAAGCTTTGCAGTGGTGGCATGGTTGAAATTCCTCCACCAGCTTGCTGCTGAATTCCGCCAGCTTGCTGCTGCTGCTGTACCTAAATTAAATTCAGAATCATCAAGTTGATAACAATTTCAGGGATACTAAGAACACAAAAAGTTTTTAAACAGATGTGTTTCTTAATATCAATATCAAGCTTTACCTCTCGCTTTACCTCTCGCTACATAGATGATTTACCGATTACAACTTATGATTGGTTACATTCAAACAACTGTTATTGATAACAAGTGGTATTCGTTGCCCTGTACGGTAACGAGCTGAAATTGCAGTGTTGCACCATTTTTATTGTCATCAACTAACTACGAACATCTGTCATAGTCGAACGAAGCCCTCCGAAACGCTTCCGCGCATGCGTGTTGGGTAATTTTATTTCAATTTCATCGTTCGTTTTTGCCTGGTTACTATATTCAAACAACCATTAAAGGTGGTAAACATTACTTTGCCTATATCCGCTTAATTAACTAGGGTTAATCATTAAGTTGGGCATCTACAGTTTCTACGGATTCGCATAGATCTCGACGAGATATGCCGAAAAGTAAAAATCAAATTTTTCGATATCTCGCTTAGTTTCCGAGATATTGATACTCAAAAATCAAAAAACTAAATTTTTTTTGTAACGAAGTTCTTTATCGGACGGTACGGATTTGGCGGATGGGGAATAGGTGACAAAAAGTGTAAGATTTTTCCGTCACGACCCTTTCTGACGTAGAGTAGACTGCCTTGGCGCCTATAAGGAAGCGAGATGGAATAATATCCATCTCCCTCGCACTTTTTCTTATCTTGTCGTGAAAGAAATATTATTTTATTTTAAATGACGCTTCATTTTAATAGACGCTATTTTTTAAAGATCTGTACCAAAACCGCATCAGCACGCCCCGACTCCACATAGTCTTGTCTGTCCTACTCCTAGAAAGTTTTTGTAAAGCCGTAGGCGCGGAGGAAGAGCAGCTCCCGTCCGCTGTAGCAAATAGCAGGCACCTGTGCGAGCCGTAGCGGCTAAGGGTGGTCGCGGAAGGCGACCAATAAGTCAAAGCTGCGGAGGTGAGCATGGGTACCTGCGATTTGTTACGCAAGGGCGAAGGGGCTGCACTTCTCGCAGCGCCGAAGCCGTTGCGGAAGTAACTTTGGGTCAATATTCATGTGTAAAAAAGTGGAATTATGAATTTACAACAAAAAAACTATTACTCATAGACTATACTTTTCCGCAAAGAGGGAAGGGTAGGGCAGCTTCCCTTTTTCGAAAATCGCAGTTAAGGAATTAATGAACGCTCCGTGACTTAAATAGCTATTTGATAATTCAAAAAATTTGAAAAACCTCTAAGTATTAATTACCACACATTTGCCTAACAGTCCCTTCTTTGAAGGACTTCCCACCCGTACGTTTACAGTCTTTGATGACGTCTAACAGGTAGCTTGTTATAGTAACGGTTTTTACACGTACTTCGTACCTAATTCAAATGGCCGTACGAAAAACGCAACCTTCCTTGATTATAGGAACCGGGCATTAATGTATAGAATTCAAGTGAGGTATTTTACACCGTGCGAGACAATGAACTTGATAAGGTATTAAATATGCAATATTATAGTTTATTTCCCAGTACCAATCAGGACTTAAAGTTTGGGCGTTGGCGTGAGTGTTTGCCGGCGGGCAACAAGAAGGAAATCAATAAAATAAGTCTATAAAAGATACTTCACGAACATAGCATACAATAAGAGACTAATGAGAGTCTTACGGAAGTTAATTGCGCACTTCGCATTCATTCTTACACATACAGGTACAAAGATCTTACATTACAGTACACATGAAACACGTTTTTAGGTATTCTTAGAAAAACACAGCAGAGAAAAGCTTCAGGAAATCATTAAAACGAAGGAAGCAAGAGTAATTACATATTGTTTTAAATTAATTTGTTATATATTTAAGTTTTTAGTAAAACTTAAATACCGCGTTATGGTGGTGGAAGAATACCTACTACTCCATATCGTTCCGTGGGTGTATGTGTCAGATGGGCAGCAGCGTCTTACTAGTACAAAAATTAAAAACGACGATTGCCAAGCCGCCTGTCGTACCGCCATGCGTGGCAACTATGGCAAATATCCCATGGGAATCTACGGACTTTTGACAGATTGTAACGGTAAAACTTAAATACAGTACCCTCTTAACTATTTCTGCTGTCAAATAGTAGTGCTAGCACCGGCAGTGTTCTCGTCTGACGAGTACAGGGGACCAGAATAATTACAGGCATTCAACATTAGTCTTCAAAGTTGTAGTCTTCTTTATTTCAAGTTGGCCGCAGGTGTTCATGGGCTGCAGCAGCCACTTACCATCAGGTGAACTGTAATTTTTTGTCACTTGAGTTTTACAAAAAGACAACCGGGGTACGGTTGAGTCGTGGACACGGCCGTGTGATTTACGTGAATACGTGAACGTAATAAAACGACCTGAAAATGGCGACGCTACCTCCTCCACCGCGTGCGATGAGTCACAGTCCTCACGCAACATAACGAATTCTTTGATCCTTTAGCTATCGAGTAGTGTAATTAAATGTTGGATATAGATGACATATATGTTGTATTTGCCTCCTACTATAGAAGTAAAGTTAAAGACGTATTAACTTCAAAAAGCAGTACTTATTTATAGATATTTTAAAATTTTAAATTACAACAGAGACAGGAATAATAATAGCTAATGAAGCATTATTCATGTTATACAACACGTAAATACAAATTTTATACACTCACAATAGGTTAAACTTACAACAAAGCACTCGCTTGTGTTACTCATGATATAGACATCAATACAGGCTTGAAGGAATATTTTTATGGCTTTTCCATTTTACTTTATCAGTAGGCGCGTGGGTTTCCCCATAATAGGGAGGATTTGCTATTATCGCCATATTGGGCTGGCGGATTGATCGGGATATTTTGCGTCGGAATAAACAAACCACCACAATGGTAATACTACTATCTATATTACGCCACGATATCTTTCTCATACTTTCCAATTCTGTTACTAATCTTTATTTTAAATTAATTGTAATTATATATGTATGTATGTATGTATGTATATATAATTACATTTAAGTTAACTATTATGACATGAAAAATGCCTGGTAGGGTTGGTACTGACCTGGTGTTGGGCCATACTGCTTGGCATGGAAGATACAACGGTGACTGTTTGGTGATGCTGTTGCGTGGGCTCGTGCTGGGACATGTTTATTTGTTGCTGAACTACTTGTGTTTGACCGTCGACAAGCTGCACCAAACATAGCCAATTATAGACATTTTATATAAGCCATATAAGCCAGTGCTTGACTATAAACATATCTGACGCAGGTTATGAACCCTTAGAAATAGAAAAGCAAACTGCTTTTGCTTAAAAAAACCTATTTACATACCTATACATTTCATATTTCATACAGGGTTATTTTTCAAAGAGTAGCCAAATTTTAAGTTCAAATATATAAATAATGATATACTGTTATTGCAGTTTTTGAAAATACCGAGTAGGTAAGGCTTCTACTTTTATTTATTTGAAATTATCCCAAATTAAAAAGATAAAAAGGACAGGATTATTGAGATTTTTTTAATTTATTTCTCTTCACCTTTTGCCTATATTACTTATTCAGGACCTTCTCTGCAAATTTGGCCGGTTATTGCAAAATAACTCTGTATATGACATGACATTGATGGCAACTTTACATTAATTGATTTTTACTCAATATGTAATAAATTATTACGTGTATTTTGTATTTTAATTAGGTGATTGAGCAAGTGGATGAGTTTGTATATTTGGGATGTTTATTTAGCAGGGATGGTAGATATGATAAGGATATAGAACGACGAGTGAACGCAGGAAATAGAGTGAATGGGGCTCTACACGCTATTGTGAGGAGTCAGAATATGTCAACTAAGGCACGTATGGCAATTCATAATGCTGTGTTAGTACCCACTTTAATGTATGGTAGTGAAAGTTGGGTCTGGCAGAAGAAGCATGAGAGTAGAATAAATGCTGTAGAAATGCGTTCCTTAAGGAGTATGCTAGGGCTGAATCTGAATGACAGGGTGAGAAATAGTGTGATAAGAGAGAAGTGTGGTTAGCAAGATGATGGTGTGACCAGGATTAAGAAAGGAATGCTTCGGTGGTTTGGTCATTTAGAAAGAATGAACGAGGAAAGAGTGACAAAGCAAATTTATGTTACAGAATTGAACGGCAGGCTCGGGAAGGGATGCCCTAGACGAAGGTTTATCGACCAAATCGGCGATACATTGAAAATGGGCCAGATTAGGAGTACCCTTAACCGACGAGCGTGTATGCGTAGATATATGGATGTGAAGGAGGCGAGAGAGGTGTGTCAGGATCGCGCCAAATGGAAGTCCGTAGTCTCTGCCTACCCCTCTGGGTGACAGGCGTGAGTGTTTATGTATGTATGTATTTTAAGATATTTTTTTGCAAATTGCTAATAAAATATATTAAGACATGATCATCAAGACATCGTGTATAGATTACAGAAGGGATTTCATCAATGGTCACGCAAGTTATTCTATAATTAACACAATATTTATGTGTATATTTATTTAATATAGTAAATACCACTAATACATTAATTATTATTTAATATCATAATTCAACTTAATATTACATTTAAATTATTGGCCGACATGGTCTATAGTTTTCAGTGGAGCAAAAATAAACTTCCGAACTCCCGATTATTGTTCAAAAGATTTGAAGCTTTTTGCAATAAGAGGCTGCAGGTTCATATTATATTTCAATCTAATATTATATTATTGCAATATGTTATTAGTAACGACATCAAATCCAATATATGACGTTCAAATAAAATCGTAATGTTACATATAAACAAAGCAAAATATGTCTGCTTCTATAGATTTTAATATAAGTCATTGGTTATATTGCTATTAGTCCAAATGGCTCGGTTTATTTATTCTTTAATATGTTAAAATATTGGATGATTTTTTTAAAATAAAATGAGAGGATGGCTGTAGGAAGAGCAGTAAGACGTTTAAATACTTTTACTTTACTGTGAATATTAATTATAGTTGCTTATTTTATGAATGAAATAGTATGGAATCTTTTTTAAAAATCCCAAATAGAATTCTCAAACGGAAGTTTCTAAAGTTATGACGCACTATCATAAGATATATACATGTTCATAATGAAAAAGGGTGTGGGTAATGTTGTACAAAATCATGCTACTACTCAATTACCTGTTGAGGTTTAATCTCTCCGCTCATTCCTGGCTTCTGGTTTTTATCGAAAAGCAAGTTAACGTTGCTTTGTGGCGATGGTAGGAAGCTAAGGTTGATCTCTCCAATGCCGGGAACGTTGAACTGCTGCGTGTGTAACGGCTGGCAACATAAAAATAATACTATAATATATTCACTTTTTACAAGAATTTTGTTTACAAACGAGAGACATTGAAATATGTTGGTGCTAGAAATAACTACATTATGCTTTCAAATAATTCACATAAATATACGTACTTACATAAAATTTGTTTTTCATTTTTATGTGGTATACGGTTGAAATGTGGGAAGTGAAAAACACAGTCAAAGGAGAAATTATAAAAGGAACAACAGAAATCATTACATTAATTATAAAATGGTTTCGTAATATGGTTAAAAATTACTATATAGTTTAGATTAAAAAAGTATAATATGAAATAAAATAAAACATAAAAAAAGTAAATAATAAGCCAAAAATTTCTACAGGGAAAATAACAGATATGATAAGCAAATAATAAATCATGAGTTTTCTGCGATTATCTCTTCTAAAGATGTTAGCGATGATAGTAAAAAAGAACATATAAAATAAAATAAAAAATGGGAAAAGATACAGCAGAAGAAACGCATTTATAATGCACATAATTTGAATAATGGAAGGAGTCGGTAGTTTAAGTATAAAAAATAATAATAATTAAATTGGGAATTAAGGAAACAGCGCGCCAACCACCCAAAGTTACGGTAACGCAGAAGCGACGCGACTACAAAGATCCTAATTACTAACGATGAGAAGACGTTAACACTTGAAGCTTGGCCCACGCTGCGTGAGAATTTAGCTAGACAAGATTGGAGCAATCGAGAAATCAATAATTAAAAGTACTTACATAAACAAGTGCGCATGTTTTGATAAAAAAAAAACATACATGAAGGGCTGACTTTGCCCTGACTTAGTGGGCGACTAAGAATAATATATAATAATGAAAATCTATTTATATTAAGTATACATATACTAACAAACATACTGAAGTGGGTGGCGGCGAATGAAGAAGAAAACTTAAGAATTACAACAATAACCCAGGTGCTGAGTGACCACCACAAGTTTTATGGCAACCATGCCGAGGCCCAGTCTTAAACAATATTTTATTCAAGATTGATACGGTTAAAAATCTCCTAGAGTGTTTTATAGACAAGTAACTAAAGCAGAGCCTACTTAAAATTCACAACAATCCTAAGGCTTTTTTAATTTTTTGAACGTAAGACTAAATCGGTTCTAGTACAGTTTCAATTTCTGTACCTAGTAAACAGGGTTTCACAGTTTCCAAGTTCAGTTTGTCCAATAGTTAATTAATCATAATTTAACTCGCCGTGAGCAAAGTTTCTTATGATCACAATTATATTTATTTCGTATTATTTTTACACACATACATATATATTCGTATAATTTATTATTATATATTATATTTCGTTTATATAACACTTCTACTGTTTTCACTTCATAAAAACATGACAAAACGTGCATTTACGATACATAGAAAACTGTATATAGGTAAAAAGATAAAGAATTAAAAAAACACACGCCGCGTCGTTTTATACAGAATATCAATAAAGTGAAATTACCCTATTGAATATTGGGCATCGGTGTTACGCCTTTTATTCAGTATAAGCCGAAATCAATACAATTTAATATTATACATACATAGGTTTTTTGCCTCTACTAAAATTTTCCTTAGTCGTATCGTAGCAATGAAGTGTCTGACGTCGGACTATCTCACTTCGATTGAACAGTATTAAATTTGAAATATTTTTTTAGTAAATCGAATTGAAAACTGTGCGAAATGGCTTGATTGTCAACACCAAATTATTTAAACAAGGTAAAGAAAATTTACAAGAGGTCTAAAACCTCTAAGTTTAGATTATGTTCTTACTACCTACTTTAGCGCGAATACAGTCATGATATTCGATCTTTATTTTATATTTCTCGTTGAACACTTCGTTTTGATCGTTTTAATCAGTGGCGTGCCCAGGGTAACGACTCAGGGCAAGATCAACTTTTTAAATGTATTTTTCAGATGCTGACCTGGGTGTTTTACATAGACTTCATTATGAAGTCTTTTTTATATATTAAACATTGACTTATATATTAGTAGCGTAAGGACCGAGCCAACCACACAACTAAATAGCACAAATGCGTTGGCCCTAAAATATGACAGTTTAGGGCCAACGCGACTTTAATTTACCAGTTGGATTCAAAAATATTGTACATCAAAAATAAAATTATACTTACTATTTTTCCAAAATTATACCACGATTGACATTTCATGATTTTTCCCATGCGCCGGGGTTTTTGCGTCACGCGTCTAGCGTATCTATACGTTTCATTCTTCGGCGTATTTATTTTGAATTGAAATAAAATTGCATTACGATATCATGTTCATAGCAAATTCTAAAATATTGCTATGGACATGATATCGTCTCTGTCAGAACAACCGGGATAGTGGCGCCGAATTCTCGATATTGTAGGGTAAATATTAAAAAGTATAAGGACCACCAATAATACAAGTCGGTCGACCTGAAGATAAAACTATGGTATTTTCGCGTAGTATAGTGGCATAGTACAGTATAAAAGTTAAGCGCCAAGGTAAGAGTGAAACACCCCAACATGAGGAACTAAATGTATTTTTATTTATTTTATTTATTACGATACTACATACTTACACCGTATGAATAATTATTATGCTTCGAAATTCAGCTATGGTTACGTCGTCGACCAATGCAAAGCAACACTCATATAGTTCGTATGTGTTATGACAGATGGTGCTAATTTTGCTTGTATGAAGAAGGTATAGGTAACATGTTTAGATAGGCGTATCCCTCTTTTTGAAATCATTGATATTAAGGTGAAAGCGCCAGGGTAACTCGCGAAATTCAAATTTTCTTACGTTTTTTTGCGATTTGCAGGCCAGTGTTAGGTTGTATGTTTAATAAAATATAATTCGCGACCGTAACGAGTACGTATTTACAGAATTATAATCATTATAATCATCAATACAACCCTCTAAGTTCGTATGTTCCCATTGTATGGCTATTTCCAGAAACTCATTCAAAGGGATTATATGAACTTGGAGGGTTAATCATACAAAAAAAAACTTGGAGAGCGAATCATATTTTGTTAAACATTCAAACCTAGCCCTGACCTGCAAATTCCAAAAAAAACGTAAGAAAATTTGAACTTCGCGGACCACCCTGGAGCTTTCACCTTAAATGATAATAGTAATACCGCCATCTACGGGAACCCATAAGAACTACCTATTTCTTATTTTCGTTTCCTATAACTGTAGCCGATATTACGACATAAATTAAAGATGGCACGCTCGATCTGGCCTGGGCTGAAGTTAAGGCGGCTACTGACCTGCCTGCCGCAGGGGCCTGCTTGCCTACACATCACAATTAAGGAGGCAATTAAGGGTCCTCCCCACTCCTACACCCTAGATTACCCCTGCGGCAGGCAGGTCAGTAGCCACCTTTAGTCGCGAGTGGATGCGCAGATATAGTTTTTTTTGGAACAAGATGGTGATAAGAAGCGGGGACGGGGAGTGTGGGCGGTAACTAAGACTAGAGATGCGAATACACATATTGCGCGGTAATAGTTACGTAAATACTCGATTATCTTAATTATCGATGATTTACTTTTTAACCAACTTCGAAAAGGAGGAGGTACTCAATTCGACTGTTATTTTACGTGTGATATCTCATAACACTTCTAGGTGAACCGATTTTGATGATTCTTATTTAATTGAAAGCTGGTGCTTCTCATATTGTGGTGGTAAATTTGATCAAGGTCTGACCAGAAGTTTTTAAGTTATCCTTAATAATTTTATTGTAGTCGGTTGTACAAAATTATTAATTTTACCACTTGTATTTTATACTAGCGATCCACCCCGGCTCCGCACGGGTGATTTCTGGATCTCGACAACAGAGCCACCTACCAGGTCCAATTGGTGAATCTAAAACATCCAGGGATCCATTCAAACACACACAAAAAATTTCATCCAAATCAATCGAGTCATTTTCGAGTTTTAGCGAGACTAAGAGATTAACCATTTGCAATTGACCATAAGAGATTTCTTATGGTTAATTGCATTGTTCCTTTTTACAATGGTCTGTAAATGCAAGATATCGTATTAAGGCTTGGTGTTCCAAGCGCATTAGGTATTTACAAGGTCGTCGCAAAGATCGAGTCGGGCCGTGCATATATATATAATTGTGATTTTTACAAAATAATCACAAAAATATTGTTTTAAAGTTAGAAACAAATATTTAAATAATTTTGAATAAACACACAAAAAGCTTAACTATAGTCTATATAAGTTCCACAAAAGTATAGTTATTTACAATTTATTTTATTACCTAAATATTATTTACGTAGCAGAAGAGAAGTGCGCTCGCAAAAATATGGCGCAGATCTTACCTTGATCTTAGATCTTATTGGGTGACATAAAAGTAAATTGTCTGCTGTATGCTGATGATGCAGTGCTTATTGCACCATCAGAGGCAGAACTGCAGGCATTAGTCACGTGTATGAAAGAGGAATGTGAAATTAAAGGTCTCCGTTTGAATGCTAATAAAACTAAGGTTCTGGTATTTGAAAGGGACGAAGAGAGAACGAAGTGTGAAATATGGGTAAATCAGGAATGTCTAGAACAGGTAAATGAAATTGTATACTTGGGGAGTGCTTTTAGCCGGGATGGAAGATGTGATTTAGATGTGGACAGGCGTGTCGCTGCCGGGAACAAAGTCAATGGTGCCCTGACTGCGTTAGTCAAAAGGCAAGGCGTAGCGAAGAGTGCACGCCTTGCAATACATAACGCAGTGTTGGTACCGACTTTGTTATATGGCAGCGAAACCTGGGTATGCCAGAAGAAGCATAAAAGTAAGTTGAATGCAGTGGAGATGCGATCTCTTCGTAAAATGTGCGGCGTTACTATGGCCGACCGAAAGCGAAACGAAGAGATTCGCAATATGGCAGGTTTGAAAGATGACCTTATCACAAAAATTGATAAGGGCGTGCTTCGGTGGTTTGGGCACGTTGAGCGAATGAGTGAAGACCGAATGGTGAAGAAAATATA